CTCCCCCAGGGCGTCAAGAGGCTACCTCCAAATTATAAACAAACTGATAACAAGACATCGAAAGTTATGCCTTGCCATTCGTTTTTCCCTTTTTTTTTTTTTTTTTTTAACCTTCTCTCTCTCTCTTCTTTTTTTTTTTTTTTTCTTTTAACTCCTCATCCTTTCTCGTTCTCCCCGTTCGGAGGTGTCGGACCCTGGACGTGCATGAAGAAAAGGGTGCAGGATACCAGAACCTTTTTGTTCGAAGCGCTGGGGCTGTTTTGGCTTGTCCACGGGATGCATCATTCACAGTGACTTTCCGTCGGACATGTGGCAGAGCGTGGCTGTAACCGCAAGCAACGACTGCTTTTCAACTTTCTTCTTAGCCTCTTGAGCTCGTCAAGACATACAAGCATTGACAAATCACTCGGGCTCTTTTTCTTTTTCTTTTTCCCCATTCGATCACAAAGTCGGCGGACGTTTGCAGCCATGTCACATGCTCTGGACCTTACTAATAACTCGGTTGTCTCGCAAAACCCGGGCCAGTTTTAACAAGACACTTGTTCCCGCCATTAACTAACTTCCGAGCTTCCAGAATTCCCCATCACTTTAGTTTGATAGTATCGGCAAGAGCTTTGAGTTCCGTGCCTGTCTGCATCGTTACCCCCCAACATTTGGTAACTGCATGGCTGGTTTCAGTTTCAGACCAACAAAGCCAGTCCGCTCTAGGGTCGCTATCATACCGATATCGGTGGCTTGCGATGGTTTTACTTGCGAGGTCCTCAACATGTCGGGGGACATACCACAGGAGACTACCTCAACTAAACGTGTCGTTGATTGTCAGAGGACCACTGCTGTTTCATCTTGGAATTCCGACTACTTGACTGCCGGCTAGGTTTGTCTGTTAATGGGATTGGCTAAATGACCGACTGCGGCAAGCATAGGGCTGAGTTGCAGCTAATCCATGCGAACACCCCCCTTCCCCCTTCTTTTTTTTTAATACACGTCTCTCCCCTCTGCACCTTTGGAGTTCCGGCATAGCGGAGCCGACCCATTACTGGAAGGCCATATTCATGCAGGAACGAATAAACTGCGCCGCATCCGAAATACTGACACCTGGAACGTGCTCTCACCCAACTTACAAGCTCACACAAGCAGGGACGACGTTGCGCTGATCCAAGACTCCCACGACGCCATCAACTTGTCAAAACACCCAATGACATCCTCGATTCTAGAAACCGAAAAGGCGCTGCAACCTATTTCTCAATCCCCCATCCACTAAAAAAAGAAACAACAAAATTGCTAACATCCGTCACTACGTTTGTCGATACTTCGATTGGCTCCTTTTATAATTCCTCAACAACCTCATCCACACGGCATTGCCACCTTTATATCGTCTTCGAGTCCGTACTCTCCTGGGTTTTCCAAATCTCGTGTCTTCCTGGGTATCCATACAGATGTCGCATGGCCCTTCTATATCTTCTTCGATGCTGCCCCTGGCTTCAGGATTACAATAACGCTTGAGCTCCACTGCTTCTGGACAAACAAATAGCTCTATCATGTCAACACATTCGCACCCAAATCTGGCAAGAATTTGGATGCACATCGCTATGTGGTATGTACTTTTGGCAAAAAGTGTAAAGCAACGAGGTTTATGTGTAGTAAGATCTACAGCTCATCGGAGGTGTTTGCTATATTCTCTGAGGGGAGATGCGGCCTTGGCGATAAGCTTGGGATAAAGATGACTCGTGATGGATATGGATATTGTGGATGGTTTTGATTAAGATTTTCAAAATGACTGGTGGAAGGGCAATGCTCTGTGTGTGTGTGTGTGTTGAGTTTTCTGAAGAGAGTCAGAAAATACCTCCTTTTGGTTTAAAAGCCAAATAGTGTAGGCAGTTTCAGGACTCCAGCAAATGAAGAGACAAGTGCTGAGGATCATAACTCCCAAGAAAGCTGACATCATGATAACACATAAAAGGGACCATGTGTGTAGTCTTTTGGTGAATTGATCTTGAAAATGTCTTTGTTGTTGTTGTGAAAAAGTGTCGGCAGTCAATATAATTGTTTTGATGAGACTCTGGATTCAAAGAATAGATGAAAGGGGCAAGCAGTCTTGTGTTCTACAAAAGTGTATAAATCCACCTGGTTGAAAATAAGCAAAAAAGGCCTTGAAGGCCAATTTTCCCTGAGAAAAAGCCGTAAGCTACCAAGTAAATAGCCTGTCTCCTGTTACATTTCTTGTAGAGATCCTTCCGCTTCACGGGAAGAGGAAGAGGAAGGGTGTATGTATGTCTACTGCCGCAGCGCATGTAGTACCCATTTCTTCGAAGCAAAAACATCCGTGCATGCTGGTTCCTATACAGTGGGTGTCTACCTTGGGAGCCATGCAGCAGGGTTGCCCTGCCCAGGGCAATCAAGAGTCTTGCTTTCATTGCATGTAGCCGGCATACCACCCGAACGAAACTCTGGATGACGATCTGCGCGAGGGGACCCTGCAAGGTGCAAGGCCGTAAAATGCAAGGGCAAATGGAGTACTCTGGACGGAGTTTCCAGTGTTTGTTCTGGAATGCGCGTAGAATGTGAGGCTATGCCAAGATGGTGTTGAAAATAGTAAGTTGAGGCAACACTGCGGATAGTGAGTCAGCAATGGGAAATCAGGATATTTGGCGTCGCTCGGACGGATATTAGACAGAGAATGGAGTGAAGAAGGATTTCGGTTAATCTGTCATCCTCCCTCGAAATGCGGGGGAACAGCGAAAAGGCCAAGATTGTGGTTGAACTCTCGGGGTGTCAACTGGGGGGGGAGGGAGACGAGTGTAACTGCCGCATTCTTTTCCTGAAGGTCAACCTTCTGCTCTTAATAGTGGTCATACCACAAACATGGGTGTGCTTGTCGGATGATTGGCTGGAAGTAGTGAAGAAGAAAGACTGCGGGATGAGATACGAGTCGCCATGGGGGTTGGGCGGTTCGTTGTCCAGAGAAGCAATCGTGATGCGAATCTTCCGTTTGGGAGGGCTTTGTTTTCCTGTGCGATAGCTATCGTACATATGGCTCTATGTTATACACAAGTTTGCGCGTTCTGAGATCGCGGATCGCGTCTCTAAAGCACCCGTTTGATCACAGTTCGAGACATTGCCTTTTTGAGGTCGAGCTGCGTAACATGGGTTGATCCCCGTTGGCCACACTTGCCGAACGACCCTTGTGGCTGGCTCGATTGGCAAGATTCGTTCTTTTGGTGAAAGCTACCAGGGATGGAATCCAATCCTTGATTATTTGCACCGTGGAGAGATCAATATAAAATTAATGAAATTGCAACACAAGACAAACGCTAAGGAATGTCCTGCAAGCGTAGCGACTCATGTTCTCGAGACCTCGCTGTGTAACCGCTTTCGAGGTAGTCATCAGTTAGTTGATTAGCTTGGAGGGGAGCAAACAGGCTATTGCGAGGCACTCCGCAGGACTGAGATTATCTTAGGCAGCCAGTGATCTCAAGATGTTTTACGGAGTCGTCCGAGCGCGTCATATCGGGTACTCCGGGGTTTGCAAGTAACTTGTTGGTTGCCCTGCGAGCCTCTCACGTCATTTTCCCTTTTCTTTTTTTTTTTGATCAGCCTGCAGACAAGGCGGGATTCGGCCTTTATGGTGCTGAGTTTTATGATTCGACAAGAGAGCCATCCTTCCCCGTAGTTAGCTGACAAGAGCTGTCCGGAGATAAGATTTCTCGAGTTATCTGGACAAGCGCTGGAGCATGGACGGACGGAAGAAGTGACAAGCTCCTGCTTTACGTAACGGGAGCGCCGGTGACAAGCAGACGTGAGGCCTTAGCGGTTAATTTCTGATAATCGCCTGACCCACTGGCTGCGACGCTATTTTTGCCTTGACAAGCGGAGTGACATGGCTCTGCGTCGAGTGTAGGAGGCGGTTAGCTATGTCTGGGTGGGAGTAAGAACCGGGCTGAGGATGACGGCCAATCTAGTAACCAATTAATAAAGGCTGCGCACATCTTGCGTCGTCGACTGGGCCGGAGCGTTGGCTGCTTGGTGGTGGTTCTGGTCGGGTGCGTGTTGGAGATCTGACGAGGATGTAAAATTACGGGACGAGCGACGTAAGATCCTGTGTAATTGTCCGCCCGAATACAGAGGACAATCTGTTTGTAACTAGACTGCCCCGGCCACAGCTCAAAAACATCGGCAAGCGGGGGGAGGATTTTGATAAAAAAGATCAAGGAAAAAAAAAGAATAAAATAGAACAGCGACCCCGATGTGTGGTTGGCTATGAGAATCCAGAAAGAAAAAGGCCAGTTTCAATAATCCGATCTTATGGAGATCAGTGACTGCGTGCGCTGGGCGGAGGGCGGTTGTGACAGCGGTCCCTGTCAGGTAATGTTACGGTAACTACAGTACGGTATGTCTCCATCCCGACCGGCGCCGTTGCCGCTCCATTTCCTCCTCCCTTGCTGCTCAATTTTTTTTTCCCTCTCTCCTGGCCTGAACGAAGGTCTTCTCTCGCTCATCCATCCGGCTCCCATCTCCATCGCCCTCCCTCGTTCTTCTCCTCGCCCTCCTTTTCTCACATTCCTACTCCTCAGGGACGGCTACGCCTCGAGTACACTCCCCCCGTCGATTCGTGGGTCTGTCGAGAGAGATTCAACTTTTTTTCCGTGCGAAGTTCTAGGGCCTTTCTTTTTTATACTTTGTGAGTGTTATTCCATTTCTCAAGCACAAGCGTGCAGTTTGCTTGCCTACCGCCAATGAGAGTCCGCTAGCATGCCCTACTCTGCATGTCGATCGCTTCGATTCGATTCACTCGAGGCCAAAATTCAGCTCCTTTCGCCCTGCTTCACTTCATCTCTTCACCCTCGCTCTCTTTCCCTTCATGCCTCCCTTCGATAATATCCCAATTGTCTATGTGACATCTTGAGTCTTTAACGTACTTTTATTAATTAATTTTTACTGTCTAGAACGGTCACGAATCTGCTTGTTCAAAGTCCATTCTTTTTTTTTTTGTTTTTTTTTTTGCTTCTTTACGGCTGGGAATTCGGCGTCTTCCCTGCTGAGAAAAAGTGTTTTGGGTTTTTACGGGAAGTTTTTGGATTTGGGTTTCTTGAACAGATTTCTTTGGACCTGCAATTATGGCGTACTACGAACCCCAAGGCTGGCAAGCTCCCGTCCGCCAGGGCTCCTGGGAGCAACCTGCTCCCCCTTCACGATCAGGTACCTCGAGATTTCATTGCCAAGTCTAAATGGGAGAATGTCTCGGCTAATACTCCCGACAACCATAGGCACAAGCTCTACCGCTCAGCGCGATGATTCACCTGCCTTTGCCTCTCAGTTCGATGGTATGAAACATCTCTTTGATGCCGTATCAGCTTTGTCCAGTGGGAAAACACCAAACACACTTGGGTTATGATAGCTGAGTCTGTCCACATGGCTCCCACCTATCATATCATTCATGTGTCTCGGTTAAGGGGATCCATTATTAAAGGTGAAACTGACTTTTTTTTTTTTTTTGAAGAGGTTGATCGGGCCATCGATAACCTGGTGAAAAGCGGGAAATTGTTCAACTCAATGCCACGGAGAGAATCAGTACCCCTTATGATGGGACGCCCCTACGACTATGGTAAAGCCCCCAGCGCAAGGCGAAGTTATATTTACCACCAAGCTTACGAATCGAAATGTAGATGGAAGAATGATAGGTGGCATGGGCCCTCCACGTCACCACTCTATCAGCGATTACGATAACCTTCGCCCACATTCTGCCTCCAACCTGCAAGGATTTTACGCCGCGCAGCGATTCCAGGGCCGTCCCAGCGAAGCGGAACAGATGATGCAAGCGAAACGCCGATTGGCAGCGCAACGAGAGAGGGATCTCCGCAATTATCATCAGGAGCAACAATATAACCGAAGTACGTGATGAGTATTGTTATTCCAATCGTTTTAATTCATTTCTACCTTAATCCTGTGTGGAGACGCGATATTATTTCTCCCCGTCACCAAATTTGTTCCTCTCGTCACTTCCTGCTTGAATCGTTTGAGTGATGGTCTGGTTTGTACTTATATCTTAACTCGTTATGAACTGGGAAAAGGCCTTCTTGCCGAAATGTCTGGAAACAAATCCGATCGTTCCATGAGTCCTGCTGCGATGAGCGAAGAAAGCCGACGCGAATTGATTGCACGTCAGCACCGTGCCCTGTATGGCAATGATTCATCCTCCTTCTTCCCCAATGGAAGCCTCGGAGACGACGGCCAGCCATCTGGTACTGCGAATACGACTGCAAGCGGCGCGCGAGGCCCCTCTCCAAGGGGTGTGGATCCCTTCGGCGGTCTTGGTCAGGCCCATGCCCAACCTGGCTCGGAGAATTCCGGCCAAACCCCCGCCGGGGCCCCTGCCGCTCAATCGACCGTCGTGCAGCAACCCCGGTCACGTGCCAACAGCACTTCGTCCCCAAGCTCCAACGCGAACCAGGCCTCCTATGGCATCTTCGACTCGAACCAGCAATCTACCTCGACGTCGTCGGCAACAGGTGCCAGCACCGACATCTCAACATCGCACCCTGACAACAACAACAAGTCGGCCACCAGCGCTGTCGGGCCGATTGGTTCCCGTCCTGTTCCTGTAACCAGCCAGGCTCCCAATCCAGCTTTGAACAAGCGTTCGACAACCCCTCTGCCCTCTCCGTTGAGCTATGGATTCTCCCCTAGTGAGGTTGTGGGTTCTACGGGTCCAAATACCACCTCTAATGGAAACGAGAAAGTTGCGCCCAATGCGGCACCCTCTACGCACACTGGCACTGCTGGAGCCTCAAGCACCGGAAAGAAGGAGCCCGGCAATGTTGGTCTTCCCTGGGGCAACGGCAGTGGTGTGTGGAGGTCCAAAGGCTCTCTCGGCGTCCAAGCTTCTGTCTGGGGCTAAAAGATTATGACTTCTCGTGATATTGGCTGTTCCTCTTACTTGCAGGTTCCCCCACCTGTTCTTCCTTCTTCTTCTTCTTACATGGAAGCGAAGTATGGCGTTTTTATTTTAAGGAGGGTCGCCAGCTATATTTCCAATTTTCGTACGGACATGCATTGGGGAATGGATTTTGGGACAATTTGATGAGATCGTTTCCCATTTGCAAAAGGAGGTCAAAGCATTTGTTTGGCGCCTGGTTATATTGAAGCTCAGGGTGGCCTCGATTGTACGCGCGCGCGCAGCAGATCTTTGACGACGTATATTTCATTTGGTTTTGCCGGTGATGTGTTTGGCTTTAGCTGGCATAGCAGCTTCATTGAACTGGTTCTATTATTGGTTGGGAGTTCGTGATGACGCTGTTTGTTTTGTTATCTCTGTGCTTCTGTCGATGAAGTTCATATTGTCCTGAATTTGGCTTTGGCTTTGGCTCCTTTTTTTTTTTTTCCTTTTTTGGGTGGCCTAGACAGGCGCAATTCGGTGTCCTGTCACATGGTTTTTGGCCGGTATCTAGGATATATTCCCTTTTCTATGGCTGCCTCCTGGTTTCCCATTTTTCGGAGATGTAGTTGTCTGCTTTCTTTTGTCTAAGTTTGGATCGGTCTGGATTTAGGGGATGTTTACGGCGCGGCTGAGCTATCTAACTATTGCTGGGCTATTATCTACCCTACGGACTTAATGTTTGGATGTCAAAAGGGGTTACATGTGTTGGATGCACAGGGTACTCGGGGCGATATTTTGGATGTTGTTGGTGTTTGCTCCGTGCCTTTTTTTTTTTAGAGTACCTTGTGGGATGTTTTGGTTTATGAATGCTTTTCCAACGTGTACTGATAGGCTTGAAGTGAATTTTTGGTTTTTGTTTCTTTCTTTTTTCCCTTCATTTTGAACTACCCTTCTTATCATGCACCGACTATATCATTCTCGTCCACTGTACTATTATGCCAGGCTAAATTGCGATGTATTCGAGTCAGTATGACAAGATGATTCATGGGCAATGAAGCAACACTAATATGGTCGAAGCCGAATGATACGCTTGGGAGCTTGTAGTAGGCGTCTAACCACGAAATGCTATCAACACACGGAGTAGATGATAAATACATCGGGAAATTAGCCTAGAGAGTACGTTTCATAACACTTAAGACATCCATCTCATTGTTGCGCACATTGAAGATTAGTTACATCAGTTATTGCGGAATTGATACAAGATTCGGGTGGATATGTTCGAGCAGCACTTATATTTTCCATCATACCGACCAGTTATGCCTAACTGGAAGAAAACCCTCTCCGGGACAGACCAGCGTCCTTATGTTTCGTCAGCAGAACAGTCAAGCAAAATAAAAGAGACACTGCCATCACCGTATGGAGTAGACTGCAGGATTTCAAACCACATTGGCAACACCTCCCGCATTCGAATTAATCTTCTTCTTAGCCGTGCCAACGCCCGCAACGCCCTTTTCTTGATTCCTTCCCAGCCAAGGCTTCGTTGCCTCCCCCAGAACCCTGCGACCCAAGTAATAAATACACTGTCCAATAACAATAAGCACGAACGCGATGGGATACATCCAGTGTATGGTATATTGGAACACCTTAACGCCAATAACTACACCCCAGAAGTTACTTGTAAGAAGACTGATATTGAAAAACGCCGCCGACGCGAGGCGAAACAGAATCGGCGCGAGAGAGTAGAATATGAAGAGGCAGATCGTGTAGCCGGTGAGGTACCCGCCGACCTCGCCGGTCCAGTTAGCCGTTTGGAAAGAACCGCGATCGAATATCGCGGCCTGAACGCCCATGATCACCGTCGCGGAGAGGCCTAGCTGGCCTAGGACCTCGTAGAGAGGGCGCTTGCTGACGAGGTATTCCTCCGTGACGTTGGCGAAGCCGTAGCACGTGGCGCCGAGGAGGGCGAAGAGATCACCTTTTATTTGGTCGCCGCGGGATTTCTGCTCGCCGGCGGTGGAGCCGGTGATGTGGTCGGAGCCGAAGAGGACGCCCATGCCACCGATGCAGACGATGATACCAATGTATTGGGCCCAGTGGTAGCGCACGCGAAGGAGCAAGAAGGATACCGCGACAACGATGACGATGGCCCAGAAATTGATGAGTTGGGCGCTGAGGATGGTGGTGTATTGGTATGCTTTGACAACGAAGTAGTTGCCCTCGACGTCGAAGAAGGCAAAGATTAAGTCTGCGAAGCAACCAGTAAGAAATCGTAATTTATTTGTCATGTATATTTCGTTCTCGGGAGAGTATAATTCTCTGAACTAACATTTCCATCCGCTTTTGTAGATAAGTCGGCACCAGTCCTTGAACCCATAACGGTATATAGTATAGCTCGTATAGACTAGGTTGAGAAGAATGTAATTAAAGAGAGTCTGAAAAGAAGGAATGGATGTTCCAGCCACAGATAAAAGATTCGTGAAGGTGTTCGTTGCAGTGATGCAAAGCGCCAGGACCTGGCTACACGATATCAAGAGAAGGCCGTTAGTCCTAACCAGCCGCCAACTAGGGGATTCGATCGGGGGCCGTGAAGCGACTCACCCAAGAAGCAAAACAACGTAGAATTCGCGGGTATGGAAGTACGCAAAGTATCCCTTTTCACTCTCGTCCAACGCTTCCGCAACGGTCACATCCTGGTGAGAACCATTCCCCTCATGCTCATCGCCATTGGGCCGGTCATTGCGAGGAGATGTGCGCCCGCTGGTCACGGGAGACTCGACGATATCGGCTCCCTTGTTGTTCGTATCAGCCATGATATCGGAATCGAAGCTACCCTGCGGGGTAGATGGCAGCAGCTCGGGAGTAGACGGGACTGAGTAGACCGAGAGTTCTTTTTTAGTTGGAGCTTTATGAATGTCAAGCAAGCGCAAAACTCCAGAAGTCGCTTGCTGTAGAGAAGAGGAAAATTCCCTTCGTTGGAGTGAACGAGGAAGAGAGAGGAGAGAGAAAAAAGAAAAAAAAAAAAAAAAGGAAAAAAAAGCAAAATGTCATCCCATTACCCCCCCAAATTCCCTGCTTATCGCCGGAACATTTTCTCGCCCGCCAGAAAAAGCAAAATAAGCTTCTTAACCCCAATTGCTAAGGCGCCGAACCTAATTTCGGGACTTGCGCTTAGCAACACGCCCCCGTTCCCGCGTGGCATGGGGCAAGCCGATCTTGTCACTTTCGGGGCAAAAAGAGACCTTTTGGACCGTTGTGGTCAGATGTGCCCAGCAGCAGACGCCGTAACCGGGCTGTGAGATCCTCCGCGGCTAGGGGGACGTTACACGGAGTGTTTAGGCGATGCGATGCGGACGGGCTGATATGGTTTTCCTGTCCGTGCGGAGCCCTGAGACTGGCAAGCCGTTTCCCGTCATGCAGTTCGCTAGTTGCGGTGGGATGCTTGCCGCTGTCCGTGATGGCGTGCATATCGGTTTCCGCCAATTTCCGGGCAATTGTCACCGGGAGCAAATGAATAGCCAGTCACTCCGTACTGCTATCGTTTATTTTCCAACCCGAGAACTTTCTTGCTGCCGAACATCATGTTTGAAGCCGTTGCTTTGCATATTATATTGAAGCGAAGCAGAACAAACGACCAGCATATAATTAACTAGTTATAATACTGCTTCTTGGGACAACTATACCGCCAATCCTGAATATCCACGCGGCACGGTTTGTTCTATGTCTACAATGTGAACTGACGTCGAGTTGTCCGCTGTGAGACCTTGAGGAAGAGGCACGTCCGATACACGCTAAATAATGAAGCTCTAGAGTATGCAACCATGGTCTGATTTCTCGTCTGCTTCAAATCAAACGCTGGTTTGGGATTCTAGGTTCCCAAAAGGGACGTCAAGGCGAGCATGGGCTGATATTGCGAATCTGGCGTTGCCGTTTGGACAGGTCAATAAAGCAACTGGCTCTTCCTGGCTCAAGTGCTTGGATGTTATCCGTCATCCCTTACCTCGTGAAATACGAGATCATGATTGAGGACACGGACCTGGTAACTGTCGGGAAATTCCCTTTTCTGGTGAGGCCTCCCTCCCATATGCCACTGAATCGGTATCTTGCTCTGTGGTCAGCGAGCCTTGCCAGCCTTATTGGATGAAAAGCTGAACACTATAATCGAGGCTTACCTTTACTGACGGCATAGCACATGTAGAGGCTCAATGAACCCGCATTAGAGCTGTTGGTCTTCTGTCTTGTGCAACCTCGAGGCTTTCTTGTTGGCAATTGGTAGAGCTTTGCCTGGAGTATTGTCAAGGAGAAATTTGGTATCGGAGGGGCAACAGTTTTATCCAGTATCCTGCAAGAATGTCGTTTGTCAAATCCTGAAAAAAGGATCAGTAGCTTGATCTTTATTATTTGTGCCTGTCTTTGCCTGTGTACTTTGCTGAGAGAGCACCGTACTCTGAGTGTAGCTACGCATATGTATTGTACCCCATGGCTCACATTCACACCAATCTAACTGTGCTCTTCAACAGACCCCTTTTCTGTGTTAATCAGTTTTTGGGTGATTTGATGTTGACAGTCCTGCATTGTTCGATCCCATAACATTTATCTCTGGCCCTGCTGCAGTTTGCAGCTCGGTCTCAGGCATCCAGTTGAGGGCTCCGAAAGCGTCACTCTTTGGGCTGCAAAGGAGAATTTAGCTTTGTGGAGGAGTTGAAGATCTGCAGCAAAAACCACATTCTCACTTCACATGACATGACATCGTCAGTCTTCACGCTCTGCCCGCCTCATCTTACTGGGAACAACGAGAAAAAAAGAAACTGTTCCTCATCTTCACCTTGGTTCTGTCAATGGCTGCTGCTATTCTTCTGTGAGCTCGACTTGCTTGACCAGGCAGCCCTGCTCGGGCCCCCACATGACCGTTTGCCATCCTTCCACCGCCCGTCGCGTGCGTTAAGTCTGCAAGCAAATTTCTTCCGTGCTTCCTCCGTCGTCCGTGCCATTCCGCCCATCCGCATCGCGAGAGATCTCCATTGTGTTCGCGTCGCGCAGGCATCCCTCCCACATCCCATCCTACCTGCTGCTGCATCCTGCCTGAAAAACGCCCTGGAAGTCTCCGCGTCTTGGCACATCCGCTCTTGTCGAGGCAACCCGAGGTGTCATCGGCGTGACAAGACGCCCGCCGCGCCAGATGATGGCCCCGGCGATCCCGCCGCCCAACGATCGAAAGCGGGTCAAAGTTTACGAGTTAAAGGATAATGACTGGTTTGATCGAGGCACCGGCTTCTGCACCGGCCAGATATTCGATGTATGCTCTGCTCTTCGCGCGACTGATGTCAGGCCTTTTCTTCCCCTTCAAACATGCGCAGCGGACGGGCCGGCCCGTGTTCTTGCGCGTGGTTGTTGACTATATTTCACTACACTCAAATGAAATGACGCGACTGTGATGGAAGCGATTGACTGACAATTCCTGACAGGATGAACCTAAAATACTGGTCGAGTCGGAGGATCAGCCGGACCGCATGCTACTGGAAACAAAGATATCGAGGGATGATGGATATCAGAAACAGCAAGGTTGGATCGCCATCAAACGCATTTTGCCTGGGAAGCTTGCTAAACTGATGGCTTTGGGATAGAAACCTTGATCGTGTGGACGGAACCGAACGGCACGGATATGGCTCTCAGTTTTCAAGAGGCTGAGGGCTGCGCTGTGATATGGTGCGTATACTCTTCTTGGTTGCGAGCCGCAGGGGTCCACTGATGTGTTGATGCTTAGGGATTTCGTACGACATGTTCAGCAGCAATTCATGGGATTAGGTCCTGGTTTGTCCATCTTTTCCCCCCCAATTCCTGGTCCCTCTAACATGTCTATTAGACGACTCGCTTTCTGACGACGCGCTTGATTCCTTAAGCAATCCGATAATGCTCCCTCCGCCGGAACTTGGAAATCTCGCTGAGATAGAGAACGCGATGCGCGCATCCACCACCACGCAAACAGGCCGAGATGCCATCTCCAAGTTCGTCATCCGCGACGAATATATCCTAAAACTCCTCCCTTTAGTATCAGTCGCCGAGGATCTTGAGAGCCTCCCCGATCTACACAGGCTATGTAACATAATGAAGTCCTTGATTCTATTGAACGATAACACAATCATTGAGCTAGTCGTGAGCGATCACGTCATTAGCGGGGTTGTGGGTGCTCTAGAATGTGCGTAATGAAATCCCCATAGTGTTGGGGAACGGGCCGATACTGATATCTGCATAGATGATCCGGAGTTTCCCACCCACAAGGCGAACCACCGACAATACCTCAACGATCGCAGTCGCTACAAGGAAGTCGTGCCTATCAAGGATCCGATAATCCTACGGAAGATCCGGCATACCTGGCGCCTCCAATATTTGAAGGATGTTGTGCTCGCTAGAATCCTCGACGATCCGACGTTTTCGGTTCTGAATTCCCTCATATTCTTCAATCAAGTCGACATAGTTCAACACCTCCAGGCTAACACCCCGTTCTTGAACGAACTTTTTGCCCTGTTTAACCCAAGGAACACAGACAACAAGCGCAAAGAAGATGCAGTGCAATTCATCCACCAATGCGCGTTGATTGCAAAGAACCTGCAAGCCGCGGCCCGCGGGAGCCTCTTTGGCAGCTTTATCAACCATGGCCTATTTCCAGTTATCGCGTACGCTGTGAAACACCCGAAACCTGCCCTCAGGACTACCGGTGTGGACATACTAGTTGCCCTTCTAGATCATGACCCTATAATGATGCGAGGATATATGTTAAAGGCGGTTAATGAGAAGAAAGTCCCTCTCACGGACACTTTGATTGAGCTATTACACACAGAGACAGACCTGGGAGTTAAAAACCAATTGGCAGATGCAATCAAGGTCCTTCTAGATCCCCAGACGCCAGTCCCCGAAGTCTTGAGCAGGATGGGTGCCGATTTCTTACCAAAGTTGCGGTCACAAAATGTATTTCCTGATACATTTGTGCAGAATCACTTCGACGAGTCAGCGAAGCGGCTATTTCTGCCTTTAAAGAGGTTAGAGGCAAGATCTGACCGTAAGACAATAGCTCCAGTCTCATTTAAGTGCAGCTGAGTACTGACTCGTCCACTTCTAGTTGGCAATTTAACCTTCCAAGAGGTAGCATTATTCTCGCACTTAGTTGATATTCTCACCTTTTTCGTTCGCCAACATCTGTTTCGGAGCCGTAATCTCATGCATGCAGAGTCCCTCGCGCCTCGAATAGCGCAGCTCCTCACAGTACCGCAGAAACACCTCAAACTGAGTATGTTCCCTCTATAAAACTTATCAATCGGCTGCTGCTGACACACTTCCCCAGCTGCACTAAAGTTTTTCCGGACTTTGATCAGCTTGCAGGACACATTCTATTATTCCCAAATGACGCATAATAATACGTTTGAACTCATTCTCAATATAGTATATGAAACGATGCCGCGCGATAATTTGCTCAATTCTGCCTGTTTAGAGTTGTTTGAGTATGTCAAACGTGAAAACATCAAGCCGATTATCATCCACGTTGTCGAGAACTATCGCGAGAAGATAAAGGATATCACCTATGTTGACACGTTTCAGAATTTAATGATTCGCTACGATCAGATGCAAGGATATGGCGCCCAACCAGACGCCACATTATTTAGTCAAGATGAATCTACAACTCCTACCCGGAATCTCATCAACGGTGGTCACCGCTGGCAGGGTGTCCGAGAGATGGATGCAGCAGAAGAGGAATATTTCGATGCATCGGATGATGAGGAAGACGAGGTAGGATTCTTCTCATCAAGTGAAATGATGAGGCAAAGTATGTTAGAGAGTAGAGCCCAACTCATGGCTTCGTGTCAGCAGGGTAAACCCGCCGCCGAATCCAGTGCAGCTCTTAATGGCTCAGCCTCTCCTGCGGCTAAACCCTTGGTCGACTACCCTGACGATGACGATGACGCCATGGACGTGACCGAACACGGACAAGCCCCTACTGGATCGGAAGTAGTGTCAGATCCGCAAATTAGCGGACAGCCCCTGTCTACGGCCTCAAGTGACACGCTATCACAAATATCGTTCAGTGGCGAGCGATTCTTAGAACGGTTTTCTGAGAAGCGGCGTCGTGAAGAGGATGACGACGACGATGAATTGATCAAATTATCCTCTGCATCAAAACGCCGTGGCTCGAGTGCTAGTGTTAGCAGTGCCGGTTCTTCAACGCTTGGTGGTTTATCAATGAAGAGGGGCATTTCTGGGCAGTCATCTACCTTGTCACCCACGCACAGTAATGCTGGCGATAAATCTTCTTCCACTACTCCTGCTGGAACGGGAGGCAAGAAGATATCCTTTAATCTAAGCATGAGCTCGGCAACACAAGCCGTCTTGAAGACCCCCGATCAAGCCTCTAGTCACGGCCCGCAGGACAGTCAAGATGAGACAATGAAAGGAAATGCTGCTGAGAATGACAGTGGAGGCGATAGCAACAACGGTGGAATAGGTTCATAGGTGTCTAGCATTTCCAGTTCCTGCCTTTATGCGCCGTTCTTCATCGATGTTCCATTCTCGCAGTTCGGGCTTTGCGTTATTGTTTTGTCGTTTTCCATGCCAGGATACGGCAGGGCACCAAAAAAAAAAGAATAATATGTTACTCAACGAGCACTAATCGAACGACATCAAGGAAGCAACGGCGTATTTGCATGTGTATTCCGAATATCCAGGGGTGCTATGTGGGCTTTTTGTTTGATTGAGATCTTCCAGCTTATTTCTGAAGTGTTGGCGGCGTTTACCGTGCAGCTTTTTTTCTCTTTTCTCTCACCGTGTGTGGTGTTTCGCATTTCTACCGTGTGTTACTTATATCTTTTACCATCCTGCTCTGTTCTATTACTGGTTTTGGTGACGGATCAAGACTTAGTCGTACATTAGATACCACTGGAATGGATGAATTTTTTTCCTTTTTTTTTTTTTAAAAAAAAAAAAAAAAGGTCGCAAGTCAGGTCCCGACGTCAGTTTAACTCTGGTAGTTTTTCTTGCCACTCGGTTTCGTCGGCAGTGGCGGCGATGGCTCGGTGGTACATAGCATCTCTAAACGAAATAGTTGGTGCAATAAGTAACTACAACTGCTAATTGAGTTTATCATTTGTTCGGTTTCGTCGAGATAAAAGCCGGAGGAAAAATGGAGACTCCGTGTGAAAGCCGAGCTGTTGATTTGAAATCCCCATTCCTCTCCCCATATTCCGTCGCCGTTGAAGAACTATAAAGAAGCATTGACGTCGATAATTTTCCCATGAGAGAAATTTTTGTTTAGTTCTCTGCCAAACACCCCCCCATTTTCCTCTGCTCTCTCGAAATAAGCAACAGACTGGCTCTCTTCTCTTCTGGAAAAACACGAGCAAATCGTGATTTATTTCTATATTCACCTTCACCACTCAAACCCACAAGTTTGACGGCGCCCAACGCCCGAGTCCTCTTTGCAGGATGAACCCGTCTAAGACGCGAATCACCCCGAACTCTTTTCTCACCAAAGTTGGCAGCTCGAAGGATGGGGATCCGGTCTTAGTGTACTTCATACCCGGCAATCCGGGCGTTGTATCGTATTATCATTATTTTCTGTCTCTTGTCGCGTCAAATCTTTCCTCTTCCTCGCCTTCAGATGCCTTTGCGTCTCTGGCATCTGCGCAGCTAGAAAAGCGAACCGGATCGCACGAAGGGGACGGAGACAGCACTCCACGGAGCAGCGGCAGCAGCACGCGCAGCGGGCATAATAGTAGCGACGAGAGCCCCATTCGTAAACTCAAGATCGCGGGCCGCAAGAAGAGCAAAAAGGGCACCGGCACCGATAGTGAGAAATCCGATCATGAATCTCTAAGCTCGAGGAAGCGTGAGCTGTGGAACTATCCTAATACTAATTCCGATGAATCATTTATAATTACGGGCAGGTCTCTGGCGGGGTTTGAGATTGAGGATGCCTCTTCTTATATTTCTTCGTATTTGACTACGTTTTCGTCAACGGACACTATTCACTCGCTGTCATCCCAGGTGGAGTACGTGGAGAGCAATCTAGCAAAGTTTGTCCGCAAGTATCAGGACAAGATCACGACCGCTGCGACTGCCGTCGCTCTGGCTGCCGGACAGGAGAAAGATGCGGTTAAGGTGCGAAAGCCACGGCCAAAGGTCATCCTTCTAGGCCATTCAATGGGCGCATATATCTCTATGGAATTATTAAGGAGGAGAAGAGAAAGGGAGAAAGCAAGGGCTACTCGAGAAAAAGAAAGAAACGGGCCGCTTTCAGATCATAGTAATAGCGATGGCGAGGAGGATGTCGAGATGGATATCATTGGGGCTCTCATGCTGTTTCCCGCAGTGGTTGACATTGCGAAGTCACCATCAGGAAAGAGAATGACTGTACGTTCAATCTATCTCTTGCCTTGACCGGGTTTGAAAATGGTTGATTCGTTAACATTTGTGCTGATTGTTTCTATAGACACTTGGATACATTCCATGGCTGGATGTTATTACCAGTCTAGCAGTCAAAAGTCTGATTTCCGTGACACCTGCTCCAGTAATACGTCGCTGGGTCCGTCATACTATGAAGGATCCTCCAGAGGATGCTCTTGATACCACGATTGCGTTCCTGAAAAGTAGAACAGGAATCAGGCAAGCCCTGTAAGTCTTGAATCACCCTTCCTGCCCCACGGTTGTCGTGGCCTAGAATCCTAGCGTAGAATAGAAGTTAATGGGGTTTAGGCACCTTGCTGTAGAGGAAATGGAGCAGATTGGTCCCGACAAGTGGAGTGACGAAATCTGGGGAATATCCGAGCAAAATAAGCCATCGGATGATGTCGAGTCACACCTTACAAAGCTGGTCTTTTATTTCGGTCGTAACGACCATTGGGTGGCTGAGAAGACGAGAGATGAGATTATTCAAGCACGATCCTCTAAGGGTGGCCGTGGGCCGAAGATGATCGTCTGCGACGATGGTATTGAGCATGGGTTTTGCATTCGTAAGTGTCGACTGCCTTATACCGATCGTTATTTGCGAAAATTTGGTGCTAACGTCCCTGTTCAGGCCATAATGAGATCATGGCGGATAAAGTCTCTGGGTTCATAAGAGACATCATAAACGATTATAGGGCAAGGAAATAATTCCTGGAGAGTTAGAAATTCTGTACTTGTAGTCCGCATCAAGCATCAGGTATGTCTATAGAGTAATGTAATATGATCCGATATCAGTTTTGAAAGGCAAATCCCGCATGACTTGTGTCGACAGCTAGGATCTGAATAGGATACTACGCGTTGAATATAGTACCTAGGAATATCCTTGGTGTCCAATGCCCGCTTTTCGGAATAAGTCGCCCAACACGTCATTTCCGTTTGGCGCTCCTGGAAGTAGTCCTGGCGGGACTCCTTGAGGTGCAGGCCAGCCAACTGGTTGATTGGTGGGCGCTTGGGGCTGAGCTTGAGGATTGAATTCAGCCACCGGGCTGTGAACTTTGACGCTCCACGCATCGTCCTGCGCTCTCTGCTGACCGAAAAGCTCCTTCAAAGAGATCTGCCGGTTCATTGGTGTGGCGGACGGAGCCTCCTCAACGAGCATGTTCTGGTTGCGTTCAGCGGCTAGCCTCTCCTCGGCAAGTTTCCTACTTTCCCCGCCATGCACTGCGCATTCTTTAATCATCTGCGCATTCAGCGTCCTTGTCTCAGCTGTCGAGCTTGGTGCAGGTTCAGAAAAGATCCATAATCCATATATCATAGACGTCCGCCCATTTGCTGCGCGGATGGCGCCTTCGCGGCCTTTGTCATCGTCCACCTTCAAGATAACATATTCATCAGTGATTTCAACGTCGTCCCCATTTTCTAGTCTGGCCTCAAAGTTGTCCATTCCACGCCTGTTGAGAACCATGACGCTGTACCTTTCCTCGCCCAGATCTCCTTTCGTGCGCTGGCACACGAACAAAGTGCCCTCGATTCCCAACTTCTCCCATGTCTGAGTAGTCGCACTGAAGATGTATACCACGGCAAACTGAGCAAGCGACAGGATTGTGGATATCGAGGGATTGTATCGGCGCACAACGGTGATGTTGAGCTCCTCATTGGATCGGGTGGGCGGCGAAACAGCTAGGGAATTAGTAGCCATGGGCGATCATTGATTCCCTTGAAGACGTTAGTTTTTTGTATATCTAATTTGTAATCCGAAGGTTGGAGGTTGTTTACCGAGGGGGTAGAGAAGTTTGCTGATGTCAGGTGTGTTGCTGCGGGTTGCGATGCGCAAAAGTACTCAACGGTGAATGGGAGCTCAAAGACGAATCATCTCCAGGCGATCTCATTAAAAATCCACAAATATTTCTCGATATCTTCCGCTTCAACCAAAGAGAAGCATAGATGAAGGGAACCGTTCTATACTCCGTACTTTGATCGTGTTGATGATGTGAGATTGCCCCAATTTTACTAGTCTACTCCGTACAGAGTATGTAGTTAGTTAAGTACCCAACTAACTACTTAACCACGCGCCTGGCCCACGGACGTCAGCGTCATCGTTTCCCCTCAACGTCGACAAGGAGGATCAACACACAGCCATGAATACCGGTGCGTTCCAACACAGATCTAATTGATGGCCAAGCCAATGGAACCTGGTCTGTCCATCCCATTTGGTGGAATGTCCAATGTCTACAAATTCCCCATACGATACCTTTTGATTCTCGCCATCGCTGGAGCCTTGCAGCAGAACAGAGCTGCGCCGCGACCACCTGACCGGCCAGACACCCGTTGAAAACACCTTATAAGTTAACACTCGCACAATGCTACAAATAGAGCACGCTTCCATTCGCGACGCTATACTCCAGTGAAATATGTCGATCCACGAGTCCTCCACGCCCACCGCCCTTCGCGAAGCCCCAGGCGCATTCCCGGTCCAGCCGGACGAGGGAAACGGTGCTCAAGGAGCGTCCAACCTCAACACATTGTCCCGAGCAGTACACGCCAGAAGAGCGGAATATATCCGCCAACGAACGGTCAAGGTGAGAATAGGATCATGGAACGTTGCGGCACTGCCGGGAACGGAGGAAGATCTTGGGAGGTGGTTTGCGGGGCCTCCCGGAAGGACGGACAAGTCCGTTGGCGAGGATGCACCTCAGAATGTTGAGCTGGGACATGCCGATGGAGCCTCCCTTGCTAACGATGAGAATAGAAGTAATGAACGGTGCGCAGGAAAGCCACCTTCACTGCAAGGACCCAGCCGGAACGCGACTGTTAACGATCGAGCTGCTCAACCTGGCGATGAAGACATTGATATTTTTGTGTTAGGATTGCAGGAAATTGTTGATCTTTCGTCTCCGGCCGAGACGCTGAGACCATACGTGGATCCAGCCCCAGCAAATAAGTGGAAAGAAGCGATCCACAAGGCGCTCCCTTCCGGTTATACGCTCATATCCTCACAGCAGCTCACTGGCTTGCTCCTGTTGGTTTATGCCTCTCAATCAATAGCTCCAAGTATCTCTTCCGTTAGTTCTACAAGTGTTGGAACCGGATTGATGGGGTACATGGGCAACAAAGGAGCGGTTGCAACGCGTATAGTTCTCGGTGGAGCAACACGTATTGTTCTCATAAACTGTCACCTCTCCGCCGGGGCTGACAAAGCGAGCTTGGACAGGAGGAACTGGGACGCCTCGCAGATTGTGATGCGGACGCAGTTTGATCCTATCGAAGATGACGATGATGTAGATTTTACATCAAGCCAAACCTTGGGAGATGAGGAGTTTGCTTTCTGGTTTGGTGACTTGAATTATCGTTTGGAAGACATTCCAGGCGAGGATGTGCGACGACTCCTCCATTTGCATACCGAGAATGACTTCGGTCCGTTGCCCAAACGTGACATGGATAGCGGCAAATCTAGATGTTCCCAGGAATCTAGTCGCTCGGAAGGAAATTTTTCCTCTGAAGCTATTTCAATGGCGGATAATGACGTCGAAACATGTCAGGATCCTGCTTCTCTAGAGACTACTCTTGCGTCCCTTCTCCCACACGACCAACTACGTGCCCAACAAAAGAACCGGAAAGCATTTTATGAGGCATGGAGAGAAGGTGACATAAAATTTTTGCCCACTTACAAATACGATATTGGTCGTATTGGGCAGTTCGATTCGGGCGAGAAGCAACGGAGCCCAAGTTGGTGTGATCGAATATTGTATCGAACAAAGGAAGACTATCTGAAATACCAGAAACGGATGAAAGAAGACGAAGATGCGAGGAAAAGGGATGAAGAGATGAAGTATCTTGGATTGGATCAAGAGGCGGAAGATGACAACGTGCTTTTTGACTATGATCCTGAGTTTGATGGAGCGGAGTATGATGAGAATGAAGACACAGTTGAGGATATAGTCGCAGATACCGACCAAGGAAATGGCTCTGGGGCCTCACTGAATATGATCTGCTATAGGTCACATCAGGATATTGCTTCTTCGGACCATAAACCCATACATGCCGATTTTATTCTGACATACGATGCCGTCATTCAAGATTTAAAGGCAAAGGTGCACCAAGAGGTTGCTAGAGAGCTAGATAAGGCTGAGAACGAGGCGCGCCCAGATATTACAGTTGTCGTTGATCAACCCGCCAACGTATCCGAAGACCACAAACTCGCCCCGAACGGGATTGCCGATCGAGACACCGTCAGCTTTGGACAAGTTCGTTACGATGTCCCGATATCGCGGAGCGTAACACTTGCGAATACCGGTAGTGTCCCAGCCACTCTCTCATTCCAGTATAGGCCTGTGGCTGCTGATGAAGACTCTCGTGTTTCTCCCCCCTGGCTCCATCTCAAGGTAGATTGGCCTGCGGATGCCCATGCGCAGACGTCAAGTTCCCAGAAGGAGTATACATTGCCTCCTGGCGAATCAGCACACGTACAACTTGTTCTTTGTGTCTTTGACGTGAACTTCGTTCGGCAGCTGAACGCTGGTGAAGCTGAACTTGAAGACATACTGGTCTTACGTGTTTCTAGTGGCCGAGATCATTTCGTTTCGGTTCGTGGGAAGTGGTTACTGTCATGCTTTGGCCTATCACTGGAGGAGCTCACTCGAATTCCTGAAGGAGGCATTAGGAGTTTAGACGTTGCCAGTCTCTCGCCCTATTTGTCCGGAAATAACCAGATCGATAACATCCGAACATCTGCTCCCCGCGAACTTTTCCGGTTGACTGAAGCAGTAGCCGAACTCACGGAACGTTCCATAGCAGAATGGGGTATGATTGGTAATGGTGATGATACAGGCAATAACGCACGTCCCTGGGGTTGTCAGCGGGCTGGTTGGCCGTTTGAACCCGAAACATGGTCACTGAGGAACAGCCGTGAGCGATACAAGCTTCTAGGCTTGATCCGCGAGGGACTAGATACTGGCGCCCCGTTCTTCGCTCAGTTCCCTGCTGAGGTTCCATCACGTTATCGAGCAGAGCTTCTTGCTGAAACCCTGCTTGCATTCTTACGGTCTCTATATGACGGGCTTATTACTCGGGCGCTATGGAGCGAGGTAGAAAGTCAAGTTTTTTCTCGCGAAAAGTCGATGTCTGCTTCTTTATCACCGGAACAGGCCCAGTCCCAAGTCCTCGAAGCCCTCGCTTCATCACCGGCCCACAGCGTCTCTTTTACATTCCTTACGTTCATGCTTAACCGCATTTCCAGTGAAATTGCGCCATTAGTACCGCCTCCCATTTCAACACCCGTGTCACCAATTACTCCAACAACACCCTCTATATCTTCTCTCGACCGTGGTTCCACAGACCTCACAGAACCTTTGAGCCCCTCAATATCAATGGCTGCGCCCATTTTACCTCGTCCATCCATTACATTCTCATTCCCATTCAGATCGCGCAGCCGCACGTTGTCGAGTAGTGATGACAACAATGTCCCTGTCTCTCATTCAAGGCCTCCCACCAGTAGTGCGACGATTAACATAGCTACCTCTTCAATTGCGAGACGTCAAGCAGTGAATAAGGCATTTGTGGCAATATTCGCAGACGTCATATATTCGAAGGACATTCCGGTACCCGAGAAAGATAAAGAGAGGCGAGTGTTAGCAGAGAGAAAGAGATCTGTTATAGAGCCATTCTTGAGAAGCGAGGCGGACAGCTGATGGAACCAATCGCTTTTGCTTTTGGGACAATGGACGTGGACATCCTGAATATTAGTTGTTTGTTTTGAGTTTCGACTGGTAGCAACCATGATGTTGGCATTGCATATAACTTAAAGCCATAATGTTGTTGTTCCCGTATACACAGGGTACTTGTTGGCTATGTATGTTTGCTTCTCATTGCTTGTAAAGCTATTGAATACATTAAGATTATCATCATTAGAATGAATTTCATGAATATACAAATGCTTTCAAAACCTAGAGGACTCCATAAGCCAGCTTGAAATATGCATAGAACACATGATAAGGCAAAACCCGAGATCTTAGTTTCTTTGGTGATTTGGGAGAACATTGGTCTCGTTCCGTATAGATTTTCATACTTGTCGTTACCAGAACTATATGTCAATTGTTTGATAATTATACCAATAATTTCCCGACTGTCGTCATAACTCAATGCCAATTTTGACGGCGGATTCGTTTCAGCCGAATAGAATCCTTCGCATTTGCGTTCTCTGGATATCCACCCCAGCCCAGGACTCTCGTCAGTATAGAAAACCACCATGCTGTAACCGAAATTGGAAGCATGACTATTCTCCTTAAGACATGCCATGGCAAAAGGAGGATTGGCTGAATGGACTTGGCCAATACCCGTATCCAGCGCAAGAGAAGGTTGCCTTGAGATTTAGGGCTAGGAGATTTTTTAAACATAATGTTGCGGATCTGGGACTCGATGTTGTCGAATCGCGTATCGGTATCCAATGCCGATGTCGTGAGTCGCTTCTCGTATTTGCGAACAGCACGATTCAAAGCAGCAATATCTACCTGCATAGCTTTCCGCACCTGGGCTTCGATCTCGCATAGTTTCTGTTCAAGTTCGCTCGAGGACTCTTGTGCTGTCTGATCCTCACCTTTGTGAGTCAACAGCTCTTCAACTTGTGCTTCCAATTCATCGAGACGCCTAGAAATGTCGACAATTTTTGTAGCATCCATCATATCAGGGTTTGGAGACGTTGACTCTACTGCTCGCCGTAGGTGGAGAGTTCTGGCTTGCACTAGCTTTAGGAGGTGAGACAAAGGTCGGATTTCAGCAGCGAGTAAAAAGATTGTAAGATTGTAATTCGAAATAAGACCTTCAGACGGCCGTGACAGTTTCGATCTAATAGCATGAAGAAGCAAGGTTCCAAAGGCAGGGAAGATAAAACATGATGCAAGAGCAATCATTTCATGAAAATGAAGCTCCCGGCTTGCTTTAGAGCCCATGCCAGCTCCGTGGGGTTGCTTCTGAGAATCGTCCGTCTGAGTGTCTTTCGCCAATGCGGTTTCTTGATCGCTTCGGCTAGCTTCGCCATTCGGCCTGTCTTCCGAATCAAAGACCTCGTCTGGTGGAGGTCTGCGCGTAGATTCCTGCGCAGCATGATACCAATCCCTACGGCCAAGTTAGCTATTCTACGAGAGAATGAGATTGTCGGTCAGTTGGTTATTCTTACCATGGTAGACGCACAGACCAGTTGAGGAATACACCGGCAAGACATATCAGCGTTACGTCTGTAAGGACTGCACTCCCGTTCTGGAAGAAAATGCCGCCGATGGCAGGCACTAGGGCCAGCGCCAAGGGAGCGGACTGCCAATAGGATCCATCGGTTTCAACGGATGCCCGTGGTCTAATAAAGTCATCCGTCGATGATTTGATGGATTGACGGGCCTCGCAGAGTGTGTCAGAAAAGGATACGGCTCGCCGGGAACCGCGGAGTACCGGAGAGGTTCCACTTGACTTTAGCGGATCATGGTAATGACGATGACGAAGTTGGGTTAAAGGTGAGGAGCCCCGTCGACACTCCGCAGACGTCTGTCTCACAACGGGCACGGTGGTCGACCCTTCGGCCATCGCGCAACTCGGGGCAGTGAAGGATTGGAGGGTGGGATTCTCCAGGGAGAGCTGTTGCGCGGAGGAAGCGAGCACGGAAGCATTTCCCGCCGGGAAAGATGCTCTTCTCTCCTTCTTGGGTGGAGGAGAACGCGTTGCCCACCAAGTGAATTCATATACATACACGTTCCGGGCCTTGATGCCCTGCGCGGTGCTCAATGTCGCCTGGTGAGCGTGTGTATAGAACTATGTAAATGCGGGAGGGCGCGCGACCGATGACGCCCATTGGTCATGTGGTGCCAAGCCTTTCCATTTTTAGACCACGGCGCGACCCACTTCCGCGGCCAACCAAAACAAGCTTAAATTCAACCTCCATCGACCCCGGCCCTTGACGTGATGCGAACACCAGGACGAGGATGGCGAGGTAATTTTAAGCGCCCACGCCCGGACTGTCGGGTCCTGAATAGCTGCCGCTGTCCCTACGCCTGACGATGACGGCGATGTATCGGATCTCAGGCGTTGATCAGGGCCCCGAACTGCTTCAACCTTTTTTTGGGGCCCTACTTGCACGGCCTATTTATCACAATGGAGAAAAGGGTTGAATATCAGCAGAAAGAACCGTTGTTTGTAGCCGTTTAGGCCGACGAATGCGCTCCATATGTCTACAAGCTGGTGATTGACCAGCTACACCTGTCAGACCAAATGAATCTGACCTTCATAGGGTTCTCTATATGCTCTGTGTCTCTGTTTTCCCTCTAGGCGAGAAAGCTTCTGTGCTTGCTGAATGAAGTGACTTGGCTTTCTTATTGCAATGCCTTTGTTTGCTTGGGCTTTTCTTTTTCTTGTGCGATGTATCGGATGGCCCTGAACTGCTTCAACCTTTTGGACTCCCCAAATCTCGTGGAAAATGCTTCCTACGTCTGGGTCTTTCACCCGTCTAGAATTTATTTTAACTAATGTGTCTTGTTGATTGCCAATAGCAAACAACCTACATGTCTTGGTGCAATCCCTAGGCAAGCCTTGGTGGGCGCCGTGGACATGCTGCATATCAAACAGCCAATTCTTGCCAGGCTCTCCTGACTTCGGGTGTCAGCGATGATGGCTGGTGCGTTTCTCAACATTATTAACCTTGTCCCTTTTTTGCTTCACAGAAGCCGAAAAAAGCATTGTATTCAAATTGTTTGCTGGGGGTGCGGGTTTTCCCCCAAGCGCCAGCCAGAGTGCACTGATCAGATAATGGCGAATGAGAATTCTATTCTGCAGCTCTGTTCACAGCATGAGCGTCCGGGTTTGCTTCCTTGCTGCTGATCTACAAGGCAAGATGTGAAGTTCGCTGACTGTCATTTGCTCCTTATTGATACCCAAATCGGGTTAGACTCCGCCCACCACCCGTAGTGGGCCTCCAACACCACTTGGCGTGTGCATCCCTCGCAGCGTCATTCTATTCATTTTGCTTGCTGATTTATTTTTACTTCTGCATTCTCGTTATTGAGGCCCTGTATAGGAAGCTGCCGCCTCAATTCAACTATTGGAAACATGCCTGCCCCAACCGTGTTGCATATAGAGCTGATTGCTGCCCCGAGGCCTACCAGCATGGCCCATGCAGCCGTTCTCTCTTCTCTCTTCCTCTCTAGATTCAGGTTTTGGAGTAGATCTCCTTTCATTGTCACTGCGCCTGGGCGATTGACGCTTCTGCTTTTGTTGTCTCTGCACGTTGATGATCTTTGCTTAACAGGCACGCTGCCATCGATCTATAAGACTGCTGGCATCCCAGCTTGCAGAAATCATCTTTTTCCGCAGCCCCAAGTCAGTCGGATATCATTCTTCTGAACTCTAGAGGCCTACTTGTCATATGTCCCGGGCCTTCTCTTCGTTCATTGTCATTTATCTCCATCTCTCCTCGCCCACATAACGTCCTCGCACAATGTCGGAAATTCAGCCTTCCCTCGAGAGATCTCCGGAAGGGGTTGCCCTTTCAGTATTCGCCTTCCTCTCTATCCTCGTTTGCTTTCCGCCTTTGCTCTGGCACTCGAGGAATAAGAACTTCCCCGCAGTATGTTTGACGGTCTGGCTTATCGTTCAAAATATCTTCAACTTTATTAATCCACTGGTCTGGCCTACCGATGATATACCTTCGTGGTGGGATGGCCGAGGATATTGCGATATCCAAGCCAAACTCATAACTGGAGCAGGCGTCGGAATTGCGGGCCCATTGGCATGTATATTTCGATCACTGGCAAAGGTCCTGGACACCGAGCATGCTACCATCATGCCAAGCAAAGGAGAGAAAAGACGAACTCTTGCGTTCGATATTTCCTTCTGTGTGATAATTCCAGCATTCGTCATGGCGATTCACTATATCGTCCAAGAAAGGCGATATTTCATTTATGCTATTGTCGGCTGCATGCCTTCCTACATCAGCAGTTGGCCTAGTATTATCGTCAATCACATGTGGGCGCCACTTGTACTTACAGTTGCTGTAGTATATGCAGGTAAGCTAAGGAAGCCCTAGCACAGACGAGTGTAGCTAACCTTGCTCCCAGTGATTGTTGTATATCGCCTTATCAAGTACAAGCGTGAATTCAATTACATTATCTCAGTCAGCAGCTCCACAAATAAGTCAAGGTTCATGAGGCTCTTTATACTTTCTATGGTCCTGCTTCTCGGAAGTTATCCCGTCCAGATTTACGTTCTCTTCTTTAATATCACCGGATTCGGGCCTTTGCTGCCATTCTCATGGGCTGAAGTGCACGGGCCAGAATGGCAGGTTATAGAAAAGTATCCAATGGGGGGTAAAGTATTCTTCGATCGTTGGATTCATGTTACTGCTGGATTTTTGTTGTTCGCTTTCTTTGGCTTTGGAAAAGATGCCACTCTCATGTATCGATCGTTTCTCCTCAAACTTGGCCTTGGACGACTCTTTCCTGGTCTTCAACATCCTCATATCATGGGCTCTGGGCACGGCTCTTCTAGGAGCAAAGGCGGATCCCTTGGAAGCCGGACAAGAATAATTTTTAGAGGGAAGTCCGAAGACACCACGACTATGTCTACTGTTTCAAAGCCAGATGAATCGTTCGTATCATTCCTATGAGACCCCACCGTTAACTATCTCGTCTCTGACAATTTCCCCCTGTTTAGGAGTTCTATGAGTATCGGGCCATTTATATCTAGCGACTCTGGACGCCGAAGCCCATCGTTTTCACTGAACAAGCCTGCTTCATCACATCTTGCGCGAACGACCCCAAATGAAAACCACTCTACTGAACCTTATCTATCTGATATCGGAAACATCTTGCAAGTTTCACCTCCTAGGCCTAGCCCACAACCGGGAACTGTTGACGTACGAACATCTTTCCCCGTCTCACCTAGGAGAGGAGACGATATGGTGTGATGGAAGTGGAGGGCTTAATAACGGACGCTCATCGATTACATCATCAAAACTTCTACAAGATGGTGCAGGCGCCGTTTGATAATACGAAGATTTCATCAAAGGAGGGGATGATTTCTCTAATTTATTCATGACGCCCGGAATGTTTCCACTTTCTTCCCCGGCTTACACCCATTTTCGCTACATACATTTGAGATGTACCAGTTTTCCACGTCCTGAACTTTCTCCTGATACCTCGACACCCCATTTTATAAGATAGCTGTTTCTGCTCCTGTTGTTGTCCAAATAAGGCATCGTGTTTATGGACTGTTGTCCGTTCTGGCTCGAAATGATATTTGAGCTGATGATAAATGTGGCTGGTGCGATATGTACATACATAGTTCCCGGCTAAATACATAGTCCCAGGTATATGAATAAAGAAATAAATCTCAGAGTTGTCCATCTGGATATGTTTCCCCCCCTCTACACTTTTCTTTGTTAACATGGAAACAGACCTACCCATCAGTGAACATTGAACACATCAGATGCTCCCAACAGGACGATGGTTCTCTGGGAAAGTGGTGGACGATATATGAAAGATTGAGCTGCACCTTATCCAATTATCTGATGGGATGTGAGGTGTACATTGTTTCTTGTCCGTATGCTCTGCACATACCTCCACTGCTGGATTAAAGATATCTAGCTAGGTTAAGCTGGGCCGGAGACGTGGCAGGTATTCATTTGCTAGATTGTTGCCTACACATAGCTCCCTCAAGAGCAAGTTGATTCTTCCACAGGCATGTGTCCACAAGGGTCAGAGCGCACAAGTTTAGATTCAAAACCGAGTCGGAGTGAAAGTTGATACCGGACCACTAGGGCCCTACGAGCTACTCCGTACCTCGCACGGAGTAAAGGAGGGGGTCGATTACTGAGAGAAATAACTAAGCCAGCAGGAATGATTCAACTAGAATACACGATGGACTAATGAGCTCGAGAATATAAATACATGTTGTAACCGACCATCATCCACGAAGAAAGCCGATAACTCCCAAGGACAATGTACCCGCGATTCCCAAAGAGAAAAAAGCCTAGCGTCTGAAAATACATGCGAAGAAAGGAACTCCACCTGGGCTGGTGAGGATGGGTGGGTGCTTTCAAACATTCCTCCGAAAACAATACATTAGAAGCAGTACTCTGCAACAGCCTGCTCAGAGGAATATCCAATACATATGTGGAGATAAGGCTCTAAATGGCATATTGCGATTCAGTATTCTCGATCTAATGGGCCTCTTGTTTCGGGGATTGGTCATGTTCGGTGGGCTGGTCATGCTCTGCGGATTGGCCCTGTTCACTGGACTGATCTTGTTCGGCATCTTTGGACTGTCGCTGTCTGGGACGGCTAAGGACCGTGTGTCTCCCTGCAAAAATCGAAAAAAAAATATGTTAGACATAGAGCAATGGTAAGAACATTAGGTCAAGACCGGACGTACGCTGCACAATGTTAAAGTTATACTTCTTCTGGCCCTCGGGGGTCTCAAGGCTGGTAATGCTCGGCTCTCCCTCAACGTGCATTATAGTCCTAAAGTTCCCTATTAGCCTCATAGCAACACTCTGGCCTCGTGCATCACAGGAACGCCATTCGCAGTGACGGTTTGTGTTCAAAACTCACCCCTTCTCCAGCCCGAGCAAATAGTTCTGGCTCTTTTCAGCCTCCGTAAAGCTTAGAACCCGGAACCATGTCATTTCTTGGGTCATTGAGTTCTTGGAACCAACGATATATCTTATGTATTGGCGTCCATTCTGGGAAGTTTTGAGCTCCGGAGCCGCGCCGAGAGGTCCGGCAATAGCTATGGTCGCATGGCTTCGGGAAGTAGAGGCGCTGAAAGCGCGGCGCAGGGACGCGGTGCGGAGAGTAGGAGCGAAGCGGCTAAGACCGAACATTATTCCGTTCAAGAAATGTATAGACGGGGAATCAATTGAGTATTGAATAAACTAAACAAAGCGCAGAGGGTTCAAATCAGGTGTTACTGCGTGTGGAGGAACGTTGCAAAGTTCCCGCGTCGAGGGAGAAAAAACACTGCGACCTTAGCTCTCTGTGTTGATCACGTGATCAAATTGCTGTTCGGGACGCCCAGCCTTGGCTTCGTCTGCGAACTCCGTGCTCGCATCATACGAGCTTAGTCGTACCTTGCAAGGTCAACGGCGTTGTCGCGGGCTTGTCTTTACCGGCACACGCAGAACCGAGAGATCATCTCTTCAAGTCTCTCTCTTTCTCTCTCTTTTTCAGTTGATTTGATCGTTGCCTGTTGCTGTTAATGTTTGGAAGCTACTTTCACGGACCGCTGTGCTCTGTACATCGCCGGTAAACCGGGGGTCGAGCCTGGCTTCACTTGATAACAGCTGCTGAGGACTAGGCTCATGGTGGGCAGGAGGGTGGCGGCGTCGTCGCCTGTTGTATAGCCCGCGTGCTTATCTCAGTTCTGGCAATCGGACCTGGGAATCCTTCTCAATAGGAAACGCTGCACTCATCACGCTGACCGGTGCCCTTCGATCCAAAGAAAGGGATAAGCTGTGGCTACCTGATCAGGGCTGTGGAGTAGCCCAACTACGCCCAGGCATTGAAAAACGTCCTTGGCTGCGAGACGATTGGAATAGCCAAGTCCTTGCTTTATTTCATTCCGGGGTAGGATAGGGGAGTAGGTTCAACCGAAGAGTGGCCCTCTTCTATGAACTCTTCCTTGATGTTTAGCACCGTTCCCTTGCACCTAATTTCCCACATATATATAAGTGACCTTTTACTCCGTAGAGACTTTCAACTTTTTAGAGATCCATGTTTGAGAATGGCTTGTGCTGGGTGGACAAAATTGATATGATGGTGACACTTCAGATAAGTCATGCATCTCAGATGATGTTAACGGGTGGTGTTCATACAAATAGTCAATGATGTCGCAAGGCTGACATCTAGCACTTTCAACACTGCATGACTGACGATCCTGACTACAGTGTTAGCATCAATGCAGAGCAACCTGCAGTTGGAAGCTGGGCAGGGAAGGCTGGTCAAGGAAACAGAATCATATTCAAAGTGTATGAGTGCAGAAAATTGGGGATTTTTTTCTATTGAACTCTATTGAACTCCAACCCCTATATCTTGTGCGGCATTCAAGAACCAATCATCCCCCTTCTGCACTTGAGAATCTTGAAGAGGTATCCTATGGTGCCTTCAGGGATGTGACATGTGAAGAGAGATTTTGTTCTTTAAAACTTTTGGCATCTAGCTATTGGGCCAACACATGTCCCTGCATCCTGTAATGCCATTCAGCCTCTGCCTCAGATAAGTGTATCAGGACAGCAGGACCGTGCATGGCATATTGAGTACTGAAACAGATGTGCACGGCTCGGCCAATAGAAAGCCAGTTAAGCTCGTGGAGGAGATGCCTTCGACTAACAATAGGTAGGACCTTGATACCACCTATACTTCGTCATAGTTATCAAGCATGCACAAAGATATGCATTTAGGGACAGAAGCGCCAGAAAGAAAGCTCTGCTGGGTTGACTTTCCTAGGGCTCCTGGCAGTGTTATGTGTTTGGTTGTGGCGCAGATCTTGGATTCTGTTATTCCTCCAAATCCTGCTTTCGTTCCTGATGTTGATGCTGAATCATGGGGAGCCCCTGCTAGCGCATCGCAAGCCTGGTGCTGTTCCTGCATTCAGGACCAGCTGGCCCGTCGCGAAGCGTCGATGAATTGCCCATCAGATCGGAATTAAGCTGATCGCCGAGGTCAGGTATCCACTTCCGGCCGCCTCGCGTATTCAATTTTCAGCGAGCCTATCCACACAGCAAGGTGCGGCAACGCGGCGAGTCGTCCGCTTTCGCGCAGACGAAATCAACGAAGGTATATGAGTACGGGGGATGTCCTCCGTATGTATGTACGCGTTCTCAGCCGCGAGGCGTGAAATCTAACGGCCGCTTAAATCTGACGGATCCAAGACCGTTTGGATGGCGCCCACGACTACTGCCTTGTTGGCACGAGCCGGGCAGTTTCGGACGCTGGTAGCTGAAGACGGCCGGACACTAAGACAAATAGTGCCACGCCAACGAGCTCCAGAACCAGCGAGCCGGGATGACGGAACGTGCCTTGGGCTCCGCGGTTCCAGTAGCCATTGGTGTTTGGCCGTCCGGTGTGGACTGGGGCGATCGTGGCCAAGCGTGGAGGAGCTTTTCCCAAAACGGTCTTTTTGCCTTGGCCGTTCGAGACGGGATTGAATTTGACGTCGCGGGAAAAAAAGGTTTTCCCTCGCCCTGGGGCGAAGTAATCCTGGAAGACGTTTGAGCTGGCCTGACCATCCCAGGACAAGGCTATGAGATCCTGTCACATCAGCGTGCAACCGAGCACACACCCTTTTGCCAGAACAAGGGAAGCCGGGTAATAATACGCAGGAAAAGAGATTATTGCCCTGAACATCCAGGTTACTTTAGCAGGAAATTTTATTTTGCTCGACCCCGGATGTGGGCTCTTTCAGTAGTATATTTAGGGCTGGACCTGGCCTCGTAGGCTTCGAACGGAGTATTTAAATCGCACCCAGTGATTCCTTTCGTCACATCCCATATGGAGTAAAACTTCCCGATGGATCTTCTCGTCTCCGTGACAGCCGGATAAAGCGAGACTGCCTGCCGTTGCCCTACACCCAGCGCAAATACCTGCCAATTCCCTGTCATACATGGCTCGCCACAGCGTTCGTCGCACAACCTACCTGCTTCAATGTCCTGCCACTCAGTGAAATCAGATCAATATGATGAGCTAATTCGCGGGCAATTGGGTATGCAGTGTGTGAGAATTCCCGACACAAATCTCTGACTCCAGATTCGCCCGTTTTGCAGTCCCTCAATTCCACTTTTGCTACATTCGTTACCAAGCTTTCCTTTCTTCTACTTCTCTCAATCTTTCTCTCTCTCTCTCTCTCTCTCTCTCCCTGTCCCTTTCTTTCTTTTCTTTTTCTTTTCTTTTTTTTTTTTTATTTTATTTTTCTAAAAACATCCTTCAGCAGCCTTTTTTTAACCCTTTCGTTGGCGTTGCCATTGCCGCACAGAAGCCCAGTGCTTGTTGTGGCCGGGCATGGTTGCGCCTGGTGATATTGACCGTGCCGTTAGCTGTCGACGCCGTGTGCCAATCACGGTTTCCAGGCTCACCAAGAACTCTACCACAAAATCAACAATCCCTAATCCACAACCATTACGGCGTCTTCGAGCCCTCATCGTCCACAACCCTTATCACCGCGGGCGGCCGAAGAAGGACCGTACGAAGACATCCCTCTTGTCCCAATAATATCCGCAAATCCGCCCATCTCTTCCCCGATTCCTGCTCCTGAACTTTCATATCAATCTCCTCTTCAGCTTCGTGGCTCCCGGCCACCACGTTCACGATCGCGAAATCGCGGACCTCTACTATCGATACGAACGAATATCCGCCAGCCGGCTGTTTCGTCCCTTTGGAATCCCATTAACCACGTTCCGCGCACCAACCCCGTCCCATCTGCCCGATTCACTCCCATCACCTTCGCCGAATCCTCGCGGGACGCTCATCCGTTGTTAACGGTTCCAGAACGACGCCAGAGTCGCCAACAGAATAGCCCAACGAGCTTATTTGTTGAACGCAGCGCTGGCGAGACTGATAGCTGCCGTACTAGTGTAGCCATTCCTCGCCAACACCGATCGAGCGGCACTTGGGAGAGCCTAGATATGGGAGAACATAGAGAGAGCGCTGGAGGCAATCAATTTGACACTTTAGGTCCTGGTCGGAGATATCTCTCGGATACATACCGTGAGACACCTCGTCATGTAAATTCTCGGCAGTCCACCCGATCACAGACTTTCGCTTCATTCCCTTCGGTAAACGGCAATACGTCGGCTCACGGCGAAACGGGCGACGATGGTGATGGCGAGGCCGCTGAAGACTTACCTTGGGGCCCTGCGCATCCTTGTTTCCCTCATATGAACCCTCATGTGCCACTCCATTCTTCGGAATATCAGCATACGCGTGTGATTCGCATACGGCGTGACTGGATGATCAAGGGCGACATGGCACCGACATTCTCGAATCTGTACCCGGAGGTTCTCGATCCTCTTCTACCCGAGCCAGAGTTTCGAAAAATAATAGCAAAGATAAACGGGGAACTGACCGCTGTGTATAATCCCTACAGCCTTCAGAACTGGGTTGATGCCACAATAGGTTTTTTAACTGGGTGGATATGGGACGACATTGGAGCCAGCCGTATCAAATCACGGCTGAGAACCATTGAAACATGGATAGACCACTGGAACAGGGACGTGGGTGCTGCAGAAGGCGTGAAAATCTGGCCTCTTCGATCAACTGGGTACATGTCCCTTGATATACAAATCCCCGACCCTAAGGTTGGCATTGTTGAAAGCGAAGCCGCATCCATACGCAACCCAGTGCCGAATATACATGGTGCGAGGATAGAAGAACCGGGAATGGTAGAAACTACTGGACCGGAAGGCTGAAATCGGTTGTACTATGCATGTCCACTCGCTTTTATTCTCTTCATATGTTTACGTCTCTCTGCGTCGAATGATATCCCAACCGCTTACTTTTAGACCCGACTTTGCACAGCATCATATTCCCTTCCTTTTTTCTCCCCTTTTTTTTTTTTTTCTGCTCTTGTTGTGCATTGCTTTGGTGGCACTTTCCGGTGCCCGCCAGCGAATATTGATCAGTGCTCTTTTTACAGAGTATCTAATTTTATGTACATGTGCCTGCTCCGACACGGGATGCAATGTATGTACGACCATTTTTGGACTGGATTGGTGGGCGGTGGAAAGATAGCTGATTCTTTGTACTATCTGATGCCTGTTTGCGGCAGCATACATAGGGATCAGTAACGCTCTTTGTCGATAAATACAAGAATCGACGAAAATAGTAGAAAATTACTCCGTACCTTGTGAATCATCACAAATCCTCTTACTTCTTCATTAGGAGGATCCGTTGTCGCAGCGCTCTGATCGATCACCTCACGATGCCCTTTTTTCTCGGCGCTGGCTGGGCGCAGGCGTGGCGGACCCGACTCAGGGGTAAACCTCCAGATTAGGAATAGCGTGGTGCGTGTCGATAACTAGTGTCGGGATGTCAATAACTAATTATCCGGCACCAATACGACTCGTTACCGTTTCTCCCTTAAACGGTACGATGACGGCAAGCTAAAGTTGAGGTGGTGCTGGAACTCCATCCGTCGCGGTAAACCAGATGATGCTTGCTTCCTGACACTCGACCCATTGGTCTATTGTCCGGCATGCTCTCCGGGATCCTTATATTCAACCAAAAGGGTGAGAACCTCATCTTTCGCGCCTTTCGCAATGACTGCCGTCCGCGTCTCGCCGACATATTCCGCATCCAGGTGATATCGAATGCACAGGTTCGCTCGCCCATCCTGACGCTGGGATCGACGACGTTCAGCCATGTCAAGCATGAGAATATATATTTGGTGGCCGTGACGAAAAGCAATGCGAATGCTGCCCTGGTATTCGAGTTCTTGTACCGACTGGTGCTGCTGGGGAAGGGATATTTTGGCAAGTTTGACGAGGAAGCCGTGAAGAATAATTTTGTCTTAATATATGAGCTGTTGGACGGTCAGTCAGGTTTCCATCCTTGCCTGCCGTGAAGTGCATTCGAATCCTGGAAAACGCGTTAGCTAACTATGTGCCTCTCCTAGAAATCCTTGATTTTGGCTATCCCCAGAACACCGAAACTGATACCCTGAAAATGTATATCACCACCGAAGGCGTTAAGTCCTCACTCACGAAATCCCCTACCGACTCCTCCCGCATTACTATGCAAGCCACCGGAGCACTTTCCTGGCGTCGCTCGGACATCAAGTACCGCAAGAATGAAGCCTTCGTCGATGTTATCGAGGACGTTAACCTGCTAATGTCTGCAACGGGTACCGTGCTCCGCGCAGACGTTAATGGCCAGATTATTATGCGGGCATATCTATCTGGTACACCAGAATGTAAATTCGGGCTCAACGATCGGTTATTACTCGACGGGGATGAGGCCAGCGGCCGGGCAAGAGCTACGCGCGCAGCTGCGGGAAGCGTAACGCTCGAAGATTGCCAATTTCATCAATGTGTGAGGCTAGGACGATTCGACGCTGATCGGATAATATCCTTCGTCCCTCCAGATGGAGAATTTGAATTGATGCGTTATCGCGCAACGGAAAACGTTAACTTGCCGTTCAAGGTCCATCCTATCGTTAGGGAGATTGGTACTACGAAGGTTGAGTATAGCATTGCTATAAAAGCGAACTACGGGAACAAATTATTCGCTACGAACGTCGTTATCCGGATTCCGACGCCGCTCAACGCGGCAAAAGTCAGTGAACGAACGACCCAAGGCCGCGCAAAATACGAACCGGAGCATAATAATATTGTTTGGAAAATTGCGCGATTTTCCGGACAGAGTGAATATGTGCTTACCGCCGAAGCAACGCTGACGAGCACGACGTCACAGAAAGCGTGGAGTCGGCCTCCCCTAAGTCTAAGCTTTAATTTGCTTATGTTTACAAGTAGTGGTTTGCTTGTTAGATATTTGAAGGTGTTTGAGAAGAACAATTATAGCAGTGTGAAATGGGTGCGATATATGACGAGGGCAGGCAGTTACGAAATAAGGTATGCATTAAATCGATATCTCCAATTGATTCCGCTGTTTCTCGGGACTAACTCCGTTTTCTATCCTAGATTTTAACACGGCTTTTTCTTTTCCCTTGTACCGCAGCATACCTTGCCACATTATGTGCGTTTATTTGGTAGCATTTGCCCTTGGACATATTGCAATAGCCGGCATAATGAGCATAAATATCCAGATTGTTCGCTGATACCTGTTCACTTCCTCCGTTAGGATTCTTGATCGATATCCGCTCTTCGGGAGTCTGCTTGATGTAAATACCTTTCCTACTATTTTATCCCTTATTGAGAAATTAAGACGAGGATCTCAAATATCGGGTCCCACGATATCCTTCCACCCCATGCTTGTTCGAGGGGCGTTCGGTAAATCTACACGCTTTATTGAAGAAATTGTTGGATTTCGTCCAATATTGTTTGATGGCCACGAGATCCACTGCTGACAGGGTACGGGGTACTATCCTGGCACATTCTAGGCATGATCACATTACCCTAAAAATAGGCGAATAGAAGAACCAGTCGCGCTGCTGACGAGGCTGGGGTGGAAGCCGAACTTTCGGCTACACATCTTGGAAATGATATCGTTATAACATGGCCTTGTTATTAACGATGAGGATTAGAGCGGACCAAGCCTCTATCACACTCCCACACTATCACATTGCTCGTTGGTGCATTCGGAGTCACACCGGAAAGTGACCAGGGATCAGAAGTACGTATTTAGCAACAACTCAGGATGAGTTGGGGTTTGTCCACCGACAAACCGCAGTTGACACCACAATTCGGTATCCGTGCACCAAAACCAACCAGTTAATCTCTTGGTCACCGGTGGCTTGCCAATTCCAAAGGCCAAATGTTGTTTTGTGGATAGGATCTTCCCGCTTCGCAAGCGTTTCGCGTGCAGGTTGGGCTTCAAAGATATTGCCCTGTCTTACCGGAATTATTTGAAATCATGCTCTTTACGAAGGAGACGAAAAGCGAATATGGATTTTAACCCACCACCGATTATATAGAGGTACATACCCGTCATGGTGCTCCGTGGTGAGCGCCTTTATCACATGATCTCGGGAAATGTGTATGATTGCCTATTTCGGCTGGATAGCCTAATTTGACCTCACCCAAAGAGCCACAGCGCTCCAACAATTTTTCACCTCGAGATTTTGATACCCTGTACAGATGAATGTTGGTCTGGGTTCAAATTGGGCCGCGGGAGATTAAATTCCCTTTAGGCCACGGAGTTTGAGCTTATGTTTCAATAGTCTAGATAATAGCCCCTCTCTCAATGACTTCATTTGTTGGAGACATCTGCTCTTCCGTTGCTCAAAGGGAAAAGCATGTCGGCACAGTCTATGAATGGAGCGAGAAAGAAAAAATCGCGAGGGGTGAGTGAGCTCGCCGCAGGTTAATGGCCGAATTCCTCCCACTGATTATTTCTCGCTGCATCGCCAAATAGCAATTGACATACTCGCGGGAAACCCATTGCTTATTGGTCGTAGCCCCAAGTTATGGTGAGCCTATGGAAACCTAGGTTCTGGTTCAATATCCATATATACTTACCGCATATAGCCAGGTTGTGGTCAATGATCCACGGGTATCAAAGAAGCATCTTCGTATCTACGCTATCGTATTTGATCAGGACAACCCTGATCATATTGCACCGCTAGTCTACGCACAAGATATTTCATTGAATGGAACACTCTGGAATGGTCGCCGGATTAGTAGGAGAACTGGTAGCGTGCTGCTAAGTGACGGTGATACCTTTGAGCTGTGCGAACACGTAATTTTTACCTTTACAGCAACTAAGCAGGGGCAGGATGTATTATCAACAGCACAATTAAAGGAAGCAAAGGTGAGGTATTCGATGTGTCAACTGATTGATGTTTATGCTGATATGTCAAAGGAGTTTCGGCATGAGTATTCGATCACAGACCGCATGCTTGGCTCCGGAGCGTATGGACAAGTCTGCATGGCGATCAACCAACGGGATGGAACTCAATTAGCTTGTAAGGTTGTTGACCTGAGCGCTATGAAGGCTCAGCTTCGGGCGCCGGGGAATGCAAGAGCCGGCAACTCTCCCCTCCCAGCCGCAAATATTGATCCATATCAGCAAATTCTTGAGATGAAGAAATGTGTAGCGCGACAGCAACTGACAAGAAAAATAGAGTCAAGGCTCAAAGTCTATGACAGGGAGGTAGAAATTTTGCAGAAACTTCGACATGTGCGGACTTCCACCTTTTCTATGGAGTAGTAATCTAACTAACCACGATCTTATAGCCCAACATTATTGGCATTAAGCGAGTCTTCAAGACTGAAAATACACTGTATACCTCACTTCCATTATTTGGAAAAATAGATCTGACAATATACGCAGATATATATTCCAAGACCTAATTCCCGCTGGGGACCTATTTTCGTTTCTTGAGTTTAAAGGATGGAGGCTCCATGACACTGAAGCAGCAGTGATAGTGCGACAAATTGTGATCGCACTTGACTACCTGCACAACAATAACATTGTGCACCGGGACTTGAAACCTGACAATATTCTCATGACATCACTGAGAAGTGATTGTCGTGTAGTGCTCACGGATTTCGGTTGCGCTCGGTACATTCCTCGAGAAGCCAGTCGGATGGTCTCAATAATGGGGACGTTTGAATACACAGCTCCGTAGGTCCCGAGTCTCGTGAACAAAAAGATCAAATGCTGACCAATAGTAGCGAAATCGACCGGTCAAAGCCATGTGCAACAAAGGGCTATACAAAGTCTGTTGACCTGTGGTCCCTTGGATGCGTTACAGTTGTACTACTTACCGGAGGATCGCCATTCCAGCATCCCGATACCCAGCTGTACTCACGAAAATTGGCCCAAGAATGTAATCTTGATAGCCTAGAGAGAATTGAAGAATGGTCTCACGTCGGACGACGAGCAAAGAATTTTGTAAAGCGACTTCTTATCCTTGACGAAAACATGAGGATGACGACTAAGGATGCACTAACACATGAATGGTTCACAAATCCGTCGCACAAGCAAGCTTTCGAGGAAATTTATAAGAAAGCTGTTTCTGATTGGAAGCCACGGCCAAATGGCGAGTACCCACTTCATGATTTCCATCATGTTGATGGCCAGTCCCAAACGGAACGGGGCCCAGATAAACGACTTAGCCCACGCAATACTCTTGACCCTGAGATACACCTGTCATTAGGACAAACGGGCTATGCCCACCCCAAGGCCGATGAATCCGAATCCCAGAAAGCCTCCAAAAGCCTCCGCGGACGGTGTATTTCTATCACACTTTCTGACCCCGGGTACAAGAGCAAACATTCACTTCAACACCTCGGGTCCGCATCCGACGATGAAGGTCCGGATGATGGAGAGGAACCAAAGCATCGTATAGTGCGGCAGGGCAGGAAAGCAAGTTCCGATCAAAAGTTCAATAGCGATATCCATCTCTCCAAGGATGCTGTTGATATATCTCCAGCCCCGCGTCACGATGACACAGCGACGTACACTCCAAAGCAGTCTGTTTCTTTCGTACGACTTCCTTTCAGTCCAGCGGCGTGGAGCAAAGCCGCTGATAGCTCCGATTTAACTCAGCTGCGACAAACAATGGCGCTGACAAACAAGATCCGCGCTGTCAAGTTCGGCGACTGTAGCGCGCCCCGGCGATCGATATTGAAGCCGGTTCCCCCAATCAAGGGGCTTCTGAGAGGAAGTGTGGGCCAGCCAAGCGTAAGAAGTTCAACCGGTAAAAAGAAACGCCACGCCCACATTTTTGATTTGGAAGACGATGAAGACATTAACCATCCACTCTCCAAAAAGGCGAGGCGAGGGCGACATAGCAATTCTTAGTCCCCATAGGCACCTAGGGAAAAAAAAAAAGGGGTTCCTAGACTCCACATAGCAGGTGCAATGGCATTGCGCAATATGAAATAACAACATTGTTTCAGAGTTCACAAAGAAATCTGGGGGGATCTAGACCCTGCGCAACCGAGTCATTCCACCAACTTTGTTAAAATTGTATCACAAGAAGCAACAAGGCGCGTTTTCTTATGTGGTGATGTCCTCTGCATGTACTCTGCACTGTGTAGTTATTCATTTGGGATCATTCTCTATGGATGTAGTTTGAGAGCAAGCCACACTCGGAACAAAAAAAAAGAGAACAGAAAAGAAAAAAGAGAAAAAAGGAAAAAGAAACAAAGTGCAGATGACTACTCCGTATATAGTCTGAACACCAAACAGAGTCCGAGGGAAGCTTGGCACAGAAAGCCTCTTCAATGCCTAGCTTGCTTGCTTTTTCATTAGCTGCACAGTTACTCCGTAGTTAAAGCAGTCAAAATCAAAATCATTCACGGAAAAGCGAAAAAAAAAAGAGAAAAAAGAAAAACGAGAAAAAAAGTAAATATGCGATGGGGCATCATCCAGGCATGCGGATTTGGGCTAACATAGCTACCCCCAGAGTTTCGGGGGGGGATGGGGGACCCACAGACGCGGTCTGCGGCTGGGAAACGCGAAAAGGGAACGCTGCGGCGCGTCGCTGAGACGCGTGGAGGCGCGTTGTGTTTAATGAGTTTTGGTGGGCCCCCATCGTGCCAGACACCAGAATCTCGAGAAAAAAAAAAAAATGAAAAAGGGGAATGAAGGACTTCCTTGCCACGGAGATATCGAGAGAGGCAAAATTGGTTACCTATGTGTCTCCTTTAATCATATTCTGTGGCTTTGGAAAGATAGTGCTGGGAGGGGTGAGATTGTGTTGGTTTTCGGGCTCAGAGCGGTTTTGAGGAACTTCGTCGCGAATTCTGCTCAGTCTTGGGTCAGCTGATGGGTGGTCTGATATTGTATGTAGCTCAATTTTTATTTTGCAATGGTGACTATTGGAAAAAAGCTTGTGGATCAATGGAAAGAGACAGTTCTGCAAGCGTGCCCACCCTTCGAGCAGGCTTACATTGACGCTCGTATGCATCGACCTATTTTTTTTTTACCTCCGTGGGCAGTTTTTCTGCATTAAGTACTCCGTGATGTCCTATCCGAATTTCGGGGTGCGATGTCCATGTCGATTGGAGCTAATTATGCCGCAAAGAGAAAGGCGCTCGAACCTCTCCGGTGGGTTCAAAAAAACAAAAGAAATGTGAAGATTTTCATCGCAGGGGAAGCTGTAACCTGGTAACCGTTGTATGATGATCTGCGACTTAACGTCACAAACACGCAGGGGCATTCGAGACAGAAAAGTTGAAAAACAAAAAAAAAAAAATTTCAAAAGAATTGATTTTCGATTGGACGAGTTACTGCAATTACATGGAAAAGATCTGTCTCTCTTCCGGCGCAAGTCCTGTGTGGCTGGACGGTGCTTGTTCGAGCAGCGAGTGCTCCATGGCTGGCGAGAAGATACAGGCTTCGTGAGGGCCACGGCGTCCGAGTAGCGGGCAATTCAAGTCTAAAATGTCTCTCTGGTCTTAGCATTATGTGCACCCCAAGTACTCCGTATGCGCATTTCGGATTGCTACACAGAACCTCTAGGGCTCTCCCATCGGCTAGCCACCTACCATGTACTCTTGACCGTCGCCGCTTGGCCTGAAGTATGTACGGCAGATCAAGGCTCTAGGGGCGCTAGAAATCGGTACCGGCACATCTCAGATTATGGATAGCGCGACTAAGAAAGGCCGAGACAATTCATAGCTTTGCAGGAAAGGACATGGGCCCGTGAATGTCAAGCAATCAAGTTGATTGGCACGTACGGCGTCGTCAGGACCTCCCGCTGCTCTTTGCGCTCAGTTCCAAGCAAACCGCCTCTTCAGCCACAGAGAGAAAAAGCGCGAGCACATTGGCTGAGTATGCTGCAAGGCGGACTCTCGAGGCTTTTTCCGTGAAGCAATTGGGTTCGGTGTGCTCCACTGGTTCAGATTACGCGGCGCGTTCCCTCAAGGTTACGCTCTGTTTTGGAGTGCTGGGACGAAGGAGGGAGGATGCAATAACTAGTTAATCCAGAGACACACACGTTTTAAGAATAACCGGACGCTGTCTCGGGAGTGTGTGACGGGAGAGGGCCGATGGGAAGCCGAAGCTGGCTGAAGAATCTCTTGCAGCAGGCGGGCCCCTGCAGATTCCCCGGCAGTGGTTTCATGGTTGCTTCCTTCCTGCGGCCCCCGTCCATTTGTTTGGTTGTTTTGGCTTGTTGCTGGGGGGAAGGCGCAGAGGAAAAAAAAAAAGAAAAAGGGGGGGGGGGAAGAGGGGAAATGGGAAGGAGCCGGACGACAAGCAAAAGAAGGTTGCCAAGCCCACTTTGACACTAACGCGGATCCACCCAGCAGTCCACTAACCTTTTTCTGGGCCATCTGCGCGTGGTGATTGGCTGCAGTGCCCACTTCTCCGCCCACGCTAGAGTCACCTCTGCACGGACAGGGATTCGCCCGGTTCCTTTTTTTTGCCTTTTTGTCTTTTTTCCCCCCGTTCCTTCCCTTTCCCTGACTCCCGTCCCTCCTTCCGTTCCCTTTCTTCCTTCCTTCCCTCCTTTCTTTTCCTTCCCCCCCCCCAAATCTCTTCTTTTTCCCTCCCAACCTCCTTCCCTCATCCCAACGTCGCTGCCCCAGAACAGTCCCTTCGCCTTTTTTTCCCACAACACACAACTGTCGCAACACCAGTCGCAGCTGCTCAATCGGAGCGCAACTTCCTGCTCTACACGCCCCTGCGGTTTTATTTTTGTTTTTCCGTCGTTAGTCATCGGAAATCGCATCCGGCGCATTCTGGCCTTCCCGCTCGTCGGCCGTCGCAAACCCACAACACGCGCCTCCTCCCCGTGTCACACCCTTGCCGGACGCATTCCCACCCACCGCGCGCATCGTCCTCTGGCGTGCCGGACATGCTCCTCCCGTCTGCATTGTCGTGTGAGTCACGGCAGCCGCCTGCTCGCTCCAGATTCCCCTCGACCCGCCTGTTCCCCGCAACTCCTCCCCCTTGCGATGACGGATTCATCGCCGGCAACGGCCTTCTGGGGACGTGTCGCTCCCTACAGTCCCTCCTCAATGTCTCCCCCGCTTCATCTCCTCGTCGATCCAAACCAGACCGGCTCCAGAGCCCGCTGCAGATCCGCGCAAACACCATGACCCGCGTCGCAAAGCCCATCGCCAAACCACCGCGTGGAGTAAATAAAAGAAGAAGAGATGTATATGAGGATGACAGCGATGATTATGGTGATGGTGATGACGATGATCAAGTGAGCGGCGGAAGAATAACGTCTGCTGACCGATTCTCAACGCCAAAGAGACGGCGTCGCGCACCTCCAGAGATACCCCTGGGCTTGGACTCGTCGGATTTCAAGGCACTGGACTCGCTGAGTGATTCCAGTGCCACGCTAAGCTTATCGCCTCGGCAGCTGAAAGATCGCCTTGGGGGTGAATCGCGACACTTCGACTCCGATCCAGCGACACCCAGTTCGAGAGACGATGCCAGCAAACTCCCTGTCGACTCGAGTTCAGATTGGACAAGTGAAGATGATGGTCGCCTGGTGGAGCTGGTGCTCGAGAAGTTAAAGCTTTCGAAACGGGACTGGACCGATTGCGCGCGAAGAATGGGCAAGGATAACGATAGTGTTGGCAGACGCTGGAAAGCGCTCGTTGGCGAAGGCAACGTTGGTTTACGTCGCGGCAAGCGCATGGTCAGAGCCCGAATACACGAGAGCTGGAGATGACTCTGCGCTCCCTACTAATTTCCTTTTCACTCATCTAATTGGGAGTCGTCTCTGGGGGTTTGTGTCCGCTGAAATTTAGCGTTTGGGTGGCCCGGACTGGGATTTTGCACTGGGTGGCTGGCGTGTCTATGGGCTGTTCATCTATCCGGATCTTGTGGCTTTCTTTCTTTCTTTCCTCTTCTTTTTCTTTTTCTTTTCTTTTCTTTTTTTTTTTTTTTCCCTTGGTATTTATATCATTTCCTATCATTTCCTTTTTTTTTTTTTAATCTTCTAGTATCTTGATGCCTTAATGTCTCGCAGTGGCTGACTTCGCTCGTTTCACGTTCTCCCATGTGCAGTGTCAATTTGGTTGACAATTGGGCTGACAATTGGGCTTTTCTCCTCCGTTTTTCCCTCGAACAAAGGGATAGTTCTTTGTCTCTTGTAAATTAGGTCGTTTACTGACTTCGATAGAGTCATTGTCCATGAGCACATTGTATTATTACACTGATTCTATTATCTCAACGCGCGAGCACGCTTCCCCAACATTAGACAGGCTCCAGCAATATATTATCTTCATGCCACATTTTCACCTTCACTTGCTATGACCAAGTCTATTGCGCCAAAGCCGATATTTCGTCACCTCTGCACCATAACCTCACGGACCGCGGTGGACGCACTAGCCTCTCCTTACTAACCCGAGCAGGCTGTCCCCTATAAAATGTTCTTTTCTGCTCCTCTCTTCTTTCTCTTCCTTTCTCTCTACTTTGCTGTCTACAAGCGGTTTGTTACTGAGCCCTTCTTGCCCTAGCTACCTTTCAGAGTGAAATGCATGCCCAGATCTTACCCCCAGCCTGGGTCTTCTTGGCCTCAGTTCTTCTTTACTTTCTTATCGCCGGGCTACTTAATACGGCTCAGACCGGTCGTATACAGTTTTCCTAGGCACCACTTTCATCATACATGCATACAAACACTTCAAAGCAATGATACCCAACTTGTGAATCTGATATGCGCTGTGCCGCACCAGCCCAGGTAGATAATACCGAAATAATGTCGATCAATTTTGGTTATTGAGCATCGAAGCTACTTGTTCTGCCTGCAAAAAGTGCAAGCCAGAGGCTGAGAGCTTCATATTTCTCAAAGACACCATAGAAGCTTTACCCTTTCATTGTTTTTCTTCCATTGCATCATCACTGCAGGATGCAGAATATGAAAGCTCTGTTTACTGGATTCGAAACTCTTGCGACCAGCAAGGCCGAGCTATGAGTATGAAAAACAAATTCTTTGTGACCTAAGATCACTTCGCTAGCACCTTTTGGCTTTTTTTTTTCAGCAATGTGTGGATTAGCGACGACTTGAAACCCATTGTCATAGTTGGTTTCTGACACATCTATAACTGATCCTAAACACCTTCAGTTATAACTCTCCTGATTATGCTTAGATTGATCTTCCAAACAAAGATATCCAATAAACAGCTTACCTTTGTGAGTTATACGAAATACATCGTCAGGAAGAGAAGTAAATCAATCTACCGAGGCAATGGAGTAGAAGTTGCTCCCGCCAGATTCTTCAGTCATTTGCCACTGCCTGAATAGGCTGACATTTGTGAAGACATACAGTGAATCTTGATGGACATACCCATATCATATCGCTTTTTGCCAGGTTAAATCTTTGGCATATCTGCAGAAGCAGTCACTTTATCACTACAGTACTACCAGTAGTAATACTAACCCAATCACTCCAAGAAAGGTTTAAACTACATATCGCCAAAATGCAAATGATACATTTTATTAATCATAACACATGCCTGCTCCTCGGCAGAGCACATCTCCCAAAAACCTGCTGGTTACCATATAAATATCTTCTCAATCACTTATATATAGCACTAATAAGTTGCTTCATACCTGGGAATGCTCCAAGTGGACAGAGACTCCTGGACATCACCGGCCGATAATCCACAAGTGATTTATGAATAGAGCACTTTCATTTATGAATGATAATATCAACAAGGGCAACCATGATCACAGCATAAATACATTGGTTGAAGCTTTGGGCGTCATTGGAGATTTTTATCGGAATGTAACGACTAACATAGAGCTTTGAATAGCTAGAAATCCTGCTTGAGAGCACATAAAATTATGCTCTGTAGGGCAAATCATACCTGGGGCATTCAGTACCCAATGACATGCGTACCCTCTGCACCTGGGAATTTGCGCGGCCGCTGAAGGCGTTCGGAAGATCTCAACCAAATCAACCAATTGGCTGACCTTGAAGGAAATGCAATCCGTATGGAAGGGCTTTGCGAATTCTTTCAAACAACATGGTGGCACCTAGTAGACTTGTCCCGTTCGCTGAACTGGCCTCTAGGTCCCTGTAAAGCAGATCTTACGGTGAGATTTCCGCCTCAAAAAAGAGGAAGACCCCCCAGAACCAGGAGTTCGTTGCCAGTAGAACCTTACACTTCATGCCAGACAACACTCGCATCCGACTGGATCCCCACAAGGGTTGGACTTTCACCTACAACAAAACAGCAGATTCCAGCATTCTCATTTTAGGAGCCTGTCAGCATAATTTATTATCATTCATGGTCACTGCAGTGAAGCGCTTCAACGGCAACAGCTGGGATATGCAGCCACATAAATATCCATGGGCTGGGGTCTTGCCCTATTTTATGGCATGGCCTATTAACCTCCCAGCATCTATAGAATGATAAATTTTGTCAAATCAACCAAATATCTTTTCTGAGAAGCTGAGCCCGACTCAGCTTGTGATGCTCGTCGTAGGGTCCACAATCTTTAGCATCTGGTGCCTTGTGTTTTCGACCGCATCTAGTCCTGAAAAACTGGATGGCGTACGGGCACATGAGCAAATGGTGATCAAGTTAGGTTAACTAACACCATAAAAGCTTCATTGAGCTAAAGCAACGGATTTGAGCTGAAACAGAGAACAATAACAGGCCAGCAAGAAACACGTTGCAGGAATAGAAAAAAATATTGTTCCATTCAGCTAACAGTCCGATTCGGGGGTTAGCGAACACGATTTCGAGACAGGCTCTCTTCCCCAGCTTGCTGACTCCGTGCAGGTACATATGTGAGTCTCCTGTACAATGGCTTGACTGGAGGTAGCATGGGGATGTTGATCAATATGACGACGGGGTAGATTGCCGTGAAGACGATCCACCTTGTGTATTCGGAAGAGAGCTGTAGAATTTTGAACCAATTTTTGAAGAACCTTGATATGAATCAACAAGCAGGAAAAAGAGGCCCTCACTCCTGTACTGTCAAGCCGTACTAAGCACTTGGTGGTGGTCCGCGTGGAAATCGTTTGTGGGACAGAGAGTGCCCGTTTTGTTCTCTCCATAATTTGGTGCTTGTTTTCTCAGAAGACAGCTTGGGATATAATTTTGCATGTCTACTGTGGACAATGCCGTTCCTCGAATTTTTGCCCCATTGACCTTGGCCGGTTCAATCCCCCTGAGACAGAAAAGAGAAAGGATACCAAACAAATGTTTCCGTGTACGATTAACTACGATTGCATTTGAATTTTTGTGGGCCCCCCATTTGCTTCCAGCCCGTCAACTACCGGAAGCCAGGAGAAGTTCATGCAGGAGAATGGGTGAAGCCAACCGACATTGGCTTTTATACATAGGTAGATTCTTAATTGATGCTGTAGCTGTGATGGAGTTGAGATACTGTGGTTAGAATGTATGGAGGTAATTTCTGTGTTTTAGAAATTAGAATGAGAACTAACCCACCATAAGAACTCTTGCTTTGAATTCAGCATTATATTCCCACCAGGTCGTCCCGGGATTTCCATGAATCAATGTCCAAGGTGGAAATCCCTCAAGGTACGGGAGTATAGGCTGGTTCGTTATCCGAGGCACGCGTGACGGTCGTGACTAGCGCGAGGCGTTTTTTTGACTCCAAAAATAGCGGAGCCGACCTCACTCAGGAGATACGAAATGAAGCCCGCGACCGAGTGGTAAGCCTCCTATCATGGAGGTATGAAGCAATTACTTCCTATTGCTACGGCAGAGAATGAACGTCGATAAGGCGCATCGCAATTGATCACCTTGCGCTCTAAAAGATCCCTAGATTTGGTTGATTTGGTCAGATACCTGCTAAAAACGAATAACTACGGAGTACGGAATACCCATTTAATAACTGTCGCAAAGCACAAAAAATAGGAATTCCTGAATCGCGCACACCTCACCGCGATGTCTGCGAGCGCGTCCGACATCATCACCTACATCGGTGTACCCCTCGCCGTACTCGGCGTCATGCCGATCATATACACCTGCATCCGCGCACTTCTCGTTCTGCGATCCATCCGTCTCGCCCTGGCGCGAAACGGTCACTCTGACTCCGCCGTCACCAGAGGCAGCATGATGTCCGGCGTCGTCGAGGTAGAGCTACCCCGATGCACAATAACTCCTCTGGACCGCGACCTTGATCCCGAGTACTGGCAGCTCAACCCAGCCCGATCGTCCCTCAAGGGCGGCACCTGGTCGTTTTTCCACTGGAATCGCCTGGTCACGGGTAAAAGGTTGTATCGGATTCAATACAAGGATGAGCTGCGCGTTCCCCAGGCGGAGATTGAGTTTCATGAATTGGTTTCGTTCTTGTTGGATCGCGGGGCGGTACCGGATGAGAATGGTTGGAGTATGCTAAGGACGAGTGGGCTGTGGACGCCGACAGGGACGGTTTTGATGCGCCCGCCGCAGGGTAAATTCGGGGGTGTGCTACGCGTTGGAGTGCCGGACGATTCCGACGGGGTGTTGAGTTTGAAAATGCATTGGAGCAGTGACTGGGATACGCGAAGTAAAGAATGTTTGCCGCCCTTCTGGATGAGGATTCATCAGCCGGGGTTGGCCTCTACTACATGTGCGAATCTGGATAACGAGAGTTACAAATCTAGTGACTGCATTATCAAGATAGACGAAGAATCCTCGAGTGAACCCGATGATAGCAAACGGAAAGCTACGGACGAAAAGCCCGCCTCAACGGGGGAGAAAGGGCAAATTGAAAGCACAGAGCCAACAGAAGGTGAAGGCAAGGATACAGATGCTGTCTCAACAACGCCATCCCTTCTCGTTCTGATTGAAGAAAAGCGGGTTGCGCTGCATGGTGAAGCAAACCGCAGCGATAGCATCAGATTCTGTCTAGAAGGGGACACAATTGACCGTGTTTTCTTTGAGCACTCCAACACCCATACCGGTAGGGTTCGAGAGATCAGTAATTTGGGCGAAATTGTCGTACAGTGGTTCGTCTACATCGCCTCGTCCTTAGCACATGTCGAGAAAACCGGCGCGTGGAACTTCGCCTTGCCCTCTGACGTTGTTCAGTCCACGCAACGAGACGCTGTGCCATGTGGTGTCATGGAGATACTGGGAATCATGCAGGAACACGAGGTCCCTCATTGGCCGAGGCCAAAGCCAAACTTTAACGATCCGTGGAAGACGCACCGACGATTCATGGAGAACCATCATCAAATGCAACTTGAGAGATCAATGCCACCGGCGCAAGCCGAAGCGTCGCGGAGAGCGAGAGAGCAGGCTACAATGTGGAATATGCAGGACGATTATCGAGAGAGTCAAAGGCTAAAACGAGAGTATGAGGAGAAGCGCGTGACGGAGGTTGTGAATTCACCTAGGCTCAGCAATAAAATTGTTGCAAAGGCCTGTGTATCATGGCTGATCGCTCAGAAGGATATTCCGAACAGTTACAAAATAACGGACGTAGTCCGCGCTGCTTTGTATCTTATGGCCTTGGATGTGACCCGAGCGAGATTAATCGCTAATATCTGTGATCGGTGGATAACATGGGGTAGAAGCGGTTTGAATACCTCGGATATCACAGAGCTGCAGCAGAATAAGATATGCTTCTGCTACGCAGCCACAATGGTGTACACTATGCAAGTTGCTGCACAGTCGGATGGCAAGGTCTCCACACACATGCAAGAATGCTTGGGACTATGGAAAAAAGTTCGGCTAGGTTGAAATCCCTATAATAAGGGCCAAACGTCGTCCGGGCTCACGGTCCCTGACCAGCTTGCATTCTTCGCATACGATCCTCTGCAGCTCTCGCTCGACGCTCCCTCTCCAGTCTCATCCTCATTTCTGGGGTCATTCCTCGCATCTCTTCTTCTCTCCTTTCGGACGCAGTTTTTTCGCGAGGCGTAAGCGTTCTCGCCGCCCTTTTTCGTTGCGTTGTGCCTTTCGCATCCTCCTGTTTTATGCGCTCCAATGCTTCCTCCCTCCTCTGCGCCTCAGCTTTCTCAGCGGCCCTCCTGTCACGATCTGCTTGGCAATCTACCTCCTCCTTCGAGATTGGGGGCGGCACATGAGCAGCTTCCCAGTCCCAGGATGCTTCACCAATTTCATGTCGGGCGATGCGGAAGGCATCACGTGTTGGTCTATCGCCCGCAAGGTCAAACGCAGGGCGTTCTTCTCCGTTGAGTATGGTGGGATCAGCCCCTGCTTTGGTGAGCAGCGCTATCACAATCGCCGGTGCACTAGAACTTGCAGCAAGGTGCAATGGAGTAGGACAGCGGTGGATTGGTTGAGAGGCCGAAGAATGGAATTTGAACGATGCAGGAATAGTATTATTCGCAAGGTATGACAATAGCCCGGGAACTTTTGACCGCCGAATAAGCGCTTGTATCTGTGACGTATGAAGAATAGCTACCTCTTCCTCTTTTGAGATCTTTGGTTTTTGCCTTTGGGCAGCTGGTTTCGGTGATACCACCTCTCGATGCTTTTCTTGCTCCTTCGCTAGGGTAGCCTCATCAAGATGGCTGATTTTTACCCGCGTCAACTCAGTGTAAGCCCTCAAGAGCTCCGCTTGCGTGGCCCGACGAGTGCTAAATGGAAATCCACGCAATCTCGGATCTGATGGTTTCAATACCTGCCCGTCGTAAGGGCCAAACAATACCCTTCGATTGGTGGGTCCCGCCGCACGCACGAATAGAAGCTCCGACTTATCGATCATATGTTTCCAGTCTTTTAGCAGATCCCTAATCTCCTTCTCCAACGCAGCTTCATTGTACCGTCTCAATGTAGAGCCGGCAGAATGTGCAGCGCCTTTTGCAGCATCACTGGCAGATTGTGAACCTCCTTGTTTCCTTCTTGTAGTGTAGCGGTGGAATGATTTATGGGCTATGATGACTGGCTTTCGATTCTCGATACCGCCGGCCCCCTTATTAATTTCAGAGGCAGCTGATGCGATCATTGCAGCGAAATGACCTCCTCCCATCATACATAGAAAATAATGCCGGGTAGATTTGCTTTGAGCCTGATCTGGGGCAGCTTTCTGGGAGTCTTGGTTCGAATTTCGTATTATGGAATTGGTTTGTTTCTTTTGCAGTGACGAAACCAACTGATCTTGCGAGTCTTGTTCCAAATCTGTGAATAGCGCTCGATAAACTCCCAAAAATACTGTTGGAGGAAGAAGGGAACTTTTGAACCATAGTAATGGCTGTTTTCCAGTACGCTTATACTGAGAAGTTTCGGTAGGATCAGTCTCAGGTGATGCCAGTTTAGCTTGTCTCTTCAGGAGTGCGACAAGGTTGTTATCCGGGGTTTTGTGGCCATCTTCCTCTTCATCGGTTGGCTCCGATTCTGAACCGGATATTGATTCATCGAGCTCTCCAATCGCTTGATTGAAATCCAATTCGTTTAGTGCTTTATTGCCCCGCAGTCTAGCTTTTAGGTTGTATCTATGGTGGTCTGATCGTACATGGACTCGTTGCTCATTGACACTATTAAAGGATACCTGGCACAAAGAGCAGGTAGTAGAATTGGTAATTCCGATTTCTCCATGTTCGTTGGTGGTTTGAGGACTGTCTTGGTCTGGCTGGATGGCGGGGTGGCTGCTGGTCTTTTTGGTTGCTAGAGTTGCCAAGAGCTCCCTGGGAAGATCAAAGACTGAAAAGCCGCTGTGAGTTCATGATCCACAGAGAGTAACTAATTAAATACACTTACCATAGAGAGGCTGCTTTAGAAGCTCTTCAGGGTTCTGTCTGTGTGTCGACATGGTGTAGCCGCAGCCCTCCACTGTCGCTGCTTTGTATTGTGCAACTTGCCATAGCCAAGCGATGACGATGGAATAACCTTCAATTATATAAGTCAAAATAGAGTTAGCCAAGAGCGGCTCAAGGAGAGCCCGCGCTATTCCGTAATAAGAACCCGCCCGAAAAACTGCACCGAGCTTTGGAGGCGCTAAAAGTGATAGTGGTATCCGTTTGATACTGCACTGCAGCTGGTTCGCAGCAGCTATTCCGGAGTCAATAAGAAGCGTCTTCGTATTGGGCCGTATTCCGCGGAGTAACGCTCTGGAGCTCCGAGTGTTTCGTCCGACAACTCCGCTTGAATTAGTCATCCATGTGGCTCCACTCGCTTGGCGCACGTTCTAGCGGCTGTCTTGGCCGTCCACTCAGCTAACTGCAACGAGCCGACCGACAGCTTTGTAAGCTCGGCTGCTCGTCTGGCTCGCTTCATAAGGATGTGAAAATGACCTAAGCTCTTCACCGTTTCTGCGACTAGACATCATCAACCGATTGTCCATTCCGGCTAACGGTTCTTGCTGCAAAGCACTCATCTTCTGGTCGTCAATTCCATGATCAGAACATGGCCGATAATGCCTACTCCCAGGTGATCCTGGGGGACTTCTCCGCCGATAGTGAACCGTTCTCCAACCGCCACCAGCCCCTTTGCCGTGATCCTGAAGGATGGGGCCCGATCAGTTCTGGTAGATATGACTTCACACCGTGCTTTATGGACACTTGGATTCTCTTCGTCTCGGTATGGGGTCTTCTAATGGGTGCGGGGGCTTTATGGCTCCTCTTGCGACGGCGCACCGCCCAACCTGTCCAGAAGAATTGGCATTTCTATGCGAAACTGGTACGTATATGGTTCTTCAATGGCGATACGCGGCAGACAGGCTAATCGAGGGACAGTCTCTTATCTGGGTCATCTTCTTCCTCGTCGCTCTTCAAGCTTCTCTTCAAGTTGAGTCGTTCCCCGGAATTTGGTTCCAAGATTTCAGGTTCTGGTCCACGATCCTCCTGCTCGCTTCTTTGGTGGTGATATACATGGCTCAGTATTATGAACACTGGCGAAGTCGACAGCCGAATGGAGTCGTCCTCTTCTACTGGGTTTTCTACATCATTGCTCACGCCGTGAAGCTTCGGTCGCTCATTTCACGGAAAGCCTACCAAGATCGCCTGCCTTATTTTGTTATTTTTAACGTGAACCTCGGCGTTGCAATTCTGGAGTTTGTCTTGGAATATATGGTTCCCAAGAAACAAAGCGCTTACGATGCGTTAGGGGATGAAGACGAGTGTCCCTATGAGTATGCCGACATTTTCTCGGTACTGACATTCTCATGGATGACTCCCTTGATGAAATATGGCTATAAAAACTTTCTTACGCAAGATGACCTGTGGAATCTGCGTAAAAGAGATACCACTCGTGTAACCGGCGATCAGCTTGAAAAAGTTTGGGACGCGGAGTTAAAAAAGAAGGGACCATCACTCTGGCGTGCTTTATTCAAGGCGTTCGGCGGACCCTACTTCCGAGGGGCTCTAGTCAAGACTTGGAGCGATATCTTTGCATTTGTCCAGCCCCAATTGCTTCGCTTTCTGATATTATTCATAGATTCATATCGTGGTGAAAATCCTCAGCCTGTTGTAAGGGGTCTCGCCATTGCCCTTGGCATGTTCGGCGTATCAGTGGTCCAGACCATTTGCCTTCATCAATATTTCCAACGAGCTTTTGAGACTGGAATGCGAGTGAAATCCTCTCTAACGGCAATGATTTACACCAAATCTTTGAAGCTGTCAAACGAAGGTCGTGCTTCCAAATCTACCGGTGATATCGTGAATTATATGGCAGTTGATCAACAGCGCCTTTCTGACTTGGCACAGTTTGGCATGCAATTATGGTCTGCACCATTCCAGATTGTGCTTTGCATGGTGTCTCTTTACCAGCTTGTCGGCCTGAGTATGCTTGCTGGTATTGGAGCAATGATCTTAATGATTCCTCTTAATGGATTAATTGCGAAGGTGATGAAAAATCTCCAGATCAAGCAAATGAGAAACAAGGATCGAAGGACGCGGTTGATGACAGAAATTTTAAATAATATGAAGAGCATCAAGCTCTATGCATGGAATGCGGCCTTTATGAACATGCTCAACCACGTTCGCAATGACCTTGAATTGAATACCCTGCGAAAAATCGGGGCAACACAATCCGTTGCCAACTTTACGTGGTCGTCGACTCCGTTCTTGGTGTCTTGTTCGACTTTCGCCGTTTTCGTTTTGACGAATGATAAACCGCTAACAACGGAGATCGTCTTTCCAGCCCTAACCCTTTTCAACCTCCTAACGTTCCCGTTATCCATTCTTCCCATGGTCATCACATCGATAATAGAAGCGTCCGTTGCTGTGAATCGATTGAAGACATTTTTTACCGCCGATGAGCTTCAGACTGACGCTGTGTTGCGCCAAGATCCCGTTTCACATGCTGGTGATGAATCTGTACGCATTAGAGATGCAACCTTTACGTGGGATAGGCATGAAGGCCGACGTGTTCTCGAGAACATCGATTTCAGCGCTAGGAAAGGGGAGTTAAGCTGCATTGTCGGCCGTGTTGGTGCAGGAAAATCATCATTACTTCAGGCGTTACTGGGTGACCTCTGGAAAATTAATGGCGAAGTCATTATGCGGGGGCGTGTTGCGTACGTTGCGCAACAGGCATGGGTTATGAATGCAAGCGTCAGAGAGAACATTGTTTTCGGTCATCGTTGGGATCCTCACTTTTACAACTTGACAGTTGAAGCATGTGCGCTCTTGGACGATTTCCAAATTCTTCCAGATGGGGACCAAACTGAAGTTGGAGAGCGAGGAATTTCACTTTCCGGTGGTCAAAAGGCTCGCTTGACTTTAGCTCGTGCGGTGTATGCTCGTGCTGATATCTATCTACTTGATGATGTTCTGTCTGCGGTTGACCAGCATGTGGGAAGGCATATTATCAACCGAGTCTTAGGCCGAACTGGAATTCTGTGCGGTAAAACAAGAATCCTTGCGACAAATTCAATCCCGGTTCTCAAAGAAGCTGATTTTATCGGACTCCTGAGGAGTGGCACCATTATTGAAAAAGGGACCTACGAGCAGCTACTCGCTATGAAAGGGGAGGTGGCAGGTTTAGTTCGCTCTGCGGTTAGTGAGGATGGTTCAGCATCAAGTGAGAGCACTCGAGAAGACGATAGCCCTCGAACCTCGGAGGCCCTCACCGCTATCGAGACAAGCGACGACGAAAATCTGTCTGAAGTTGAAGAAGCTCAGGAACGCTTAGCTCCACTCGCTCCAATGAGAAGCGGTGGCGGCACTATCCGACGAGGAAGCATGGCAACTCTCAGGCGAGCTAGCACCGCAAGTCCCGAGAATCCTCGGACGAAGTTTATCGACGAGGAGACTGGCATCAAAACGAAGCAAACCAAGGAGGTTGCAGAGCAGGGAAAGGTAAAATGGAGCGTATATGGCGAATACGCCAAAACCAGTAATCTATACGCTGTTGCTCTCTATCTTGTCGCCTTGCTCGCAGCCCATTCAATGCAAGTCGCCGGTAGCTTTTGGTTGAAGAAATGGTCTGAAATCAACGAGATCGAAGGGCGAAACCCGAGCATTGGAAAATATATTGGTATTTACTTTGCATTTGGTATTGGTTCTTCAGCTTTAGTTATTCTGCAGACGTTGATTCTTTGGATATTCTGCTCTATTGAGGTATGGTTCCTGTTACCCAAGTCTCCTTTTTATATGTGTACTAACAAAATGATGGGCAGGCGTCTCGAAAACTCCATGAAAGGATGGCTTTTGCGATATTCAGATCTCCAATGAGTTTCTTCGAGACGACCCCAGCTGGTCGAATCCTTAACCGCTTTTCAAGGTATGTCGATCCATTTTCCTGGTCATTGAGTTTCAAGTTATGCTAGCATTTCGAGGCCAACTTGTTGCTAATATTATGTACGTAGTGATATATATCGTGTCGACGAGATTCTCGCTCGCACGTTCAACATGGTAAGTTTACGAGCAAACATACGCGGATTTTGAGCTAACGAATTGATTGTAGCTTTTCACGAACAGTGCTCGTGCTATGTTTACCATGATCGTCATCGCAATATCCACACCTTTGTTCCTCGTCCTCATCGTCCCCCTTGGTTTCGTATATTTCAGCTATCAAAGTTACTATCTACGGACCTCTCGAGAACTCAAACGCCTCGACAGCATCACCAAAAGTCCTATTTTTGCTCATTTTCAAGAGACTCTCGGTGGCATTTCAACGATCCGGGCGTTTAGGCAGCAAAAGCGATTCGCATTGGAAAACGAATGGCGAACGGATGCAAACCTCCGTGCATATTTCCCTTCGATAAACGCAAACAGGTGGCTGGCAGTTCGTCTAGAGTTCATTGGTTCTGTGGTCATCCTTGGGGCAGCATCGCTGTCCATTATCTCTGTGGCAACTGGTAGCAAGCTTACGGCTGGTATGGTTGGTCTTGCAATGTCCTACGCACTTAACATCACTCAATCATTGAACTGGATCGTCCGTCAAACGGTGGAGGTCGAGACAAACATCGTTTCTGTGGAAAGAGTGCTCGAGTATGCAAATTTGCCGAGTGAAGCACCTGACGTGATCTTCAAACATCGCCCGGCGCTCAGCTGGCCTTCTCAAGGAGGTGTAACGTTTGACCACTATAGCACCCGATACCGAGAGGGCTTGGATCTCGTCCTCAAGGATGTTTGCTTGGAAATTAAGCCTCACGAAAAAATAGGAGTTGTAGGGCGAACAGGAGCTGGAAAGAGTTCGTTGACGCTCGCACTATTCCGAATCATTGAGGCAGCCGAAGGGCGAATATGGTAAGGATTTAACCCGTATCTCTCTTTATGCGCAGTCCCGAACGAGTTACTAATGCGATATCGTATCCAATAGTATCGATGGTCTCAATATTAGTTCGATCGGGTTGTTTGACCTTCGTGG